CTCAATCGTGTTTCCATCCATTGCGTCTGCATCAGGCAACTGACGCTAATCGTCTGACGAATCGGCCTCCCTTGGCGACCCCGAATGAGATCATTCTGTGATAGGTCTGATTATTTTGTCAAAAGACAAATAAAATGTGCGTCTGAAAAGTCCCTCATTCTCTTGCACCCACGTCTCTGCCGTGGAAGAGAGGAAGAAGACGGGCAGCACTGGCGAAAGTGGGGAATTTCTCGTTATGAAGTCCGTCCAGTCGATGAATGCAGATCAACGCCCCGGTTCACAGTGCGTCGAGGGATCCACAACGAAAGAAGGGCAACGCGAGGCGGGGTTCGAGGAGGGCTCGCATCGACTTCCAGAAGAAGCGTCATCCTCCATCCATGGCAAGCCACGATCCGTCAGTCGCTTCCCCCTCCCCCCGTCCTCTTTATTTTTTATTATAATTTTGTCATAAGACGAATAAATTGATTGTCCGTCTCGAAAGCCCCTAGGGCCGGATTAAGGGGGGTGGGGGCAAAGTGGGCTGTTGCACTTCGCCCCACTCTTCCATGGAGTGCCTCTGCGCCAAACCAAGTCCTAATACTAATAAACGCTTATCTCTTATACGTTCGCTGGTTTTCAAAATTGACTCGTAAAAGCCAGTTCAGCACCGGGTAAGAATGCGTGTGCAACCAATTTCAGCTGCTGAGGATCGAACCTTGTTTGCAGGTGGACACACTACACCATTGTTCCGTGCCAACAGTTCGAACCGCAGGCTTGTGAAGCACAAGCGCGATTGAAAGTTCATATTTGATCAAAAACGACTATTCCTCCTCCGTTGAGCCAGCCCTCAAATCCAAAATCACAATCCATTCCTGAATTGGAGGCTAAAAATGCAGAACTTTACTTCTTGGTGGCTGATGGTAAAAGTTTGCATGCCTCGAGGCGATACGAACTTTTCCACTCTTTCCGAATGCTAGCACTATTCTGGCTAAAATAAGAAGTACCTGTCAAAAATGATACATCAAATAGCAGGATTAAAATTTTTTTTGTGATATCTACTTGGCAAGACAATAATTCACCTATTGAAGGAACCTACATGCAGGTTTGAGTTCAGGGAGAATCATGTTCTTGAGTGTGATGTGGGCTGTCCCCACTGTCCCTGACAGCCCATACCACACTTAAGGTGTTGCTCTGGATTGCTTTGTAAAAACACATGCAATCACTGACATTCACCATTATTTATTCTCAGGTACAAGTATAACAGACATAAACATACTCTCTCCATCAATTCAGAAAATGCCAAAGAAATTTGTCAATTAATTCCCTATGTCAAGAAGAGAGGGAAAGAGCAAAACATATGCATCCATCAACTCACCAGTGTATCAACATGACAACTGAAAAGAGCTGAAAAGAAAAGAATATCAACATGACACAGTTATACTCATCCTGGGTCTGGTAACCGAATAGATGCCTTGGAACATGAAAACACCATACACTGCTTCAAGGATCATGGTGATCACTGAATACTGCAAGACCTCAAATTGAGCAAGAATCTGCTCCTGGCGTCTCACCACAGAAACAAAATAACTCAATGGAAAACAGGAAAAGCAGAAATGTTGAAAGCCCTAGGAGGTTTTTCCATCTGAGGCAATAATTCAACATAGAATAAATTCCCACCTATCTCGATTGTCAAGCTACACCAATATGGCACTTCGACATTTGCTCTTGGCACCCACTCTAAGTCACTACCTTGATGCCAGGAAGTTCCTAATTGCTCTCAGATTTTCATCTCCATTTGTCATCCTGACTACTCACAGCAATAAAAAAAAGAAAGGTCCAATTAAAAGTAGATAAATGCATTGAATAGCCACACTCAACATCCATTATTTGGACAAGGGATGTTGCCTCTTATCTCAGGTTAACATACTTAGACTCTTCATCTGGCACACATCCACAGTGATACTTTTTTGACAAACTGAATGCTTGTCAAATGAATGAATCATTTAGTTTTAAAATGGAACAGCAAATAATGACTTTACAGGGGCAGTTTAAAAGCAGCCTCTTGCTGATTATGTTGAAAGAATATATCCTAGATATGAATTCAAATATAATTTTGCACTCCAGAAATGTCAGCTGCTTTGTTCTATCCATTTTTACGAGTGGCCAATGAATGGCTGAGGTCATGGAATGATTTCAGAAATGACAGACAACATAGAAAACTTACTCCATTCTCTGTCACTAACTCAAAAATCAAATTATCTGACTGACATGAGATGTGAGTAAATAAGCAGGATATCCCACAATCTTATGAAGTTCTAATATAACTGCGAGGAACATCCAACAATTATGGCAAAGTAACAACTTATTGGCACAATATAGACAAATGGAGCAAGGATTCAATAGAGGCTTATATTAAATAGTTGAGCCAATTTAATGGGAAGGCAGACATGGCACTTGGTAGACTTGAAAGTGCATCCACACCAGTGGCATGAAGGCATGCAAAATATCACATCTACAGAGAAGAGAGTGGTAGAAATGTCCACCAAGATAGGTATAAATCTGGACATGAATAAACTGGATATAGGAACTACACTCCACTAATATGCTTGGAACAAGAACAAAGTCAACACTGTGAACATCAGAATCCATACATGCTTTCAAGAATTGGAAAACTTTGGGAATAAAACTGGCCTATAATACTTCTGTGTCAAAACACAAGCAGTTGGGCTTAGATCATATGGAAAACAGTTGACAGACCACATGAAACATAGAAGTAAAAGTAATTTTACCAAAGTAAAAGTACTCCACCAAGAGAGAAAAACCATGAAAATTCTTTCTTGAACTCATTACACAGGGAAAAAAAAGATATGTTTGCAAGTTTCAGATAATAAATAAACTTCAATAGTTGCTGCATTAAGTCTCAGCCAGCACAAAATTTGCCTTGTCACAGGAATACAAATTAGTTGAATTAATTGAGGAATACAAATTGTGCTCACTTTGGTAAATCTCACCAGATTCTCTGAAGAAATGTTGCATAAAAGATAGCATAAATTCTGTTTGCCATGATTGGTTTAGGCTTTCATGTATTCTTCGTTTTCATGGATCCTTACTTGGAGAACCCAATGCCCAGTTCCTTCTCACATAATTTACTCTATAAAGTAGCTCAATGCCAAAAATTGCAAAGTTTGTGTAGAATCTAGAATTTCAAAAAATACTTTCAAGATTGCTAAATCACTATGTTAACCATCCTGTGACAGCTATCCCTCACCCCATTTACCCCATCCCTTCTAATCCTTTCTAAATGGACAGTAACAGTATGCCAACTGCATAAAGCATATCTAAGGGTCAGTTGGGTTAAACATCCATCTGCATCATTCTGCCTTGATAACAGCAACGCTGCAGAATCCATTGGTGCTGTGGTCTTGTTTAGCAATTTTTTGAAGAGGTTTTCATGCATAGAACTCTCACAGGACCATCATTAATAAATTACTAGAGAGGGACTAATTAAAATTTTCACTCTTAAGACTAATTAAAAGAATTAATTAGTCTTAAGAGTGAAAATTTTGACAAAGAAATGCAGATATTACAAAATGGTTTAAATTTTTTCAAAGAATAAAGAATTGCTAGATCAAAATTAAATAATAACAGTAACTCAATTTTTGACCATGTTGAAGGTGTACACTACTTTAAGCAATACAACACCAAGGGTTACTAGAAAAAAAGAAAGAAAAAGTTCATTGTGAAACTGATAATTCTAAGGGCAGGTTTCAGTGCATGAGCAAACCAGCAGGTCCTAGGTTAAGATGGAAGAGGCATAGCAGGAAGCAATACAACTAATATTCTAGGAATCAATCCAGGAAGCATCAAATCTTGGGAAAATGTTGCCAATCCAAAATCTCCCTCCAAAATTTAGCCAAAACCAAGGAAGATGGCACAAGAAATTTGCCTACCAAGATATATAAATTGTATGTTGCCTTACAGCAACTAAAGATCAATATTTGAAAAACATGAAAAGGCGATCTTAATTGTTCTCTTTGATTGTTGAAGTGGTTGCTTCAGAATGAAGGGCTTTACTAATATTACAATCAATAACAAGCAGAAAATACTGAGATAACTGTTATGGTTGGATATAGATTGAAAATAGACAGAAAAATTGATGCCTTCTGCAGCATTGGAATGGAAGCCCCAAGGAATACAAAAAGCCTCAGCAACTGGCAACAGGCTCAGCAACCAGTACTGGCAAAGCTAAAAGCTGCCTACTGGGTGTTGCAATCTTCCATGAAAGAGAAACTACATCAAGTCATTGAATTGCACTTTCAAAGTTAAGAATTCAGACCATCCAGACAGCAAGCATTTTGAAATACAAGGTTACAAAACCTAAACAAGAAAGATGGAGTACTTGTTCACAAGGAAGTCATGGAGTCCCATTTCTCTGGATTGACTAGGTCCTGTAAGTGTTCCTCTTACATTACCTTTCATAAGTTGCAAAGCCAATGGGAATATTTAAAACTTTGAGACCAGTCCCCACACTCAGGTTAATTAGGGAGAATTGTAGGAAATGTCAAAACACACATTAAAATTACTAGCTCCCTATTAGGAGATTCCAGTCAATATGAGTTATCTTTCATGATATGATCATCTACTGCAAAGTCAACAATGTTCCTCTTGAAGGAGGTTGGGCAGAAGATGTGGGAACAAAGCACCTTTCATGCAAGGATGATTCACAGATCACAAGGCTCAATCTTCAGGAGTCAATTCTCTCACATAGTCTTTTGGGAAGTATCCAAGCTGTAAGAAAAATAGATAACTCATCAGTAATAAGCCTGAAAAAGTAGCCCTACAGATTATATCATGGGTATTTGTCACAGGTATTTACACAAGAGAGGAAACTTGCAACAGTCACTTGTGGGAGAGTGGCAGCCAGGGCTTTTGCACAATTGCATGAGAATGAAGAACTCCCAGTGGATAAAGATAATCTGTGGGGCTCTTTCCTATAAGTACACTTCAAGCAAGTACACTTGCATGCACCAACCAGCCCAAGCTGAAATGGTGTCTAACAGCCCCTTCACATGATCATAATTTAAGTCTGAGACTGTCAGTGAAAAGAACCGGAGAAGTAAATAATCAACTACTCACACTGCCAGATGCTATATGATCCCAAAACCAGTCAAAGAACATAGACATTCCCCAAAATAAAACAAAATATATTTAAAAATTATGAGTGGGTGATACAACAGGTATTTACATGTGGAGAGCTGGTGTGCTACCACTATATTTGAACCATATCCTGTATGGAAGCTGAAGATGGTTATCAAAAGTAACCTTCTGTTGACAGCACCAATATGAGGAACTTCTTCAATTGATTAGGATGATCTGAGGAAGATTGGTGCAAACTACACTACCACTTTTCCTTGGCCCCCCCTCCATCTTTCTATCAAGTCCTTTATATCTAAGGGAAGCACCATATCTAAGAAAATCCATCCCTCAAAAGCCTGGTGAATTGTGTGGGGTCTTAGGGGGTGCAGATCCTAGAGGTGGTGAACAGTTTATGAGCTGAAAAAAAAAAAAAATCTGGCTGCCCAGTCAATTTTCAATGAATCAAATGAATATTGACGTAAAGAAGGAACCATGAGAACTGTGAAAATGAACTTAGCAGAATAAAACAAAACAGATCAGATCATATTGAGACCACTGGGCATATCTTCTGCCATATACCGTATTTACTCCAGTATAGTGCGCCACTGTGTATAAGACACACCCCCGCTTTTGAGGTCCCAATTTATGTGTAAAAAAAAAGATTCCTCCTGTATAAGTCGCACCACTCCATTTCGCAGCGAAAAGTGTTGGACAAGGGAGATGAATAAGGGGTAAAGCTGGTCTTGAGGTAGGCCGAACCTCGTTTCTTATTCACTATCCTAACCTTTATTGAGGGGGGGCACAGTATCCCTAACTATTGGGATCATTTCCAGTAATCAAGAAGGAAATGGCCGAGAGTGATCGAGACGCGAACCCATACGATTGCAAGAGCAAACGGGATCTCCCATAGAAAATTTAATGCATTATGAGGCTGAACGGCACGATTCATGATGCGAGTTGGATTTTCTCAGCGGCTCAAAAATTTCTGTGAGAAACGATTGTCTCTGGAGTGGCCCCTCGAAGGGATGAGAGCTCTGTGAATCGATTTTCCACGCTGCCAGACACCTCAGATTCTGATACTGAATGAAGTCTGAGAATCGACGTAGCCACTTCCTGTTTACTGTTTCATTATTATTATCATATTATATTTCCCCAGTTCTGACTGACTGCAGACACTGTTTCTGCCTCAATAAGTGACCAATGAGAAAAAATTTTTTTCCTTGAAAATGAGAATTTTTTTCCTCGAGTATAAGACACGCCCCCTCATCGAACACAATAATATATGCAGAAAAAATGCGCCTTATACACGAGTAAATATGGTATTTCTTCTTGATTGGCCCTTTCAGAGGGAGCCTACAGCTTAAGGGTCATAACTAGACTTTCCTCGTAAGGTGGGTCAAGCATTATCAGACTCTTCAAGAATGTCTTAGGTTTCTGAGACTCTTTGAGAGAAGTGTTTATACTGCCAGAGATCTCACCCTCTCACAGTATCCCAGACAATCTGACATAAACTCTAACCATGTAGAACATACTTATGGATCTCAGACAGTGCTCACCCGATCATGTATCTTCCCTGTCCACCAACCCATGTGATCATATTCCTTGCTGACTATGATAACACGATCATTGACACTCAAGGCCAACTCATTCTCCCTTCTTCCTTCATAATCAGAATGGACGAGAGCAACTGGACGGGCAAGTTTATAGGGCACCTTCAATGTGGCATTCAATCTGCGGAGAAACAATGGCATAAGAGACATGTCCTTTATGCTTATACTTTCCAAACAGAAAAAAACACAGGAAAACTGTAATTACCCATCAAAGCTTTCACTCAGACTGTGTTCAGTGTACCATTGTATAAGCTCAACTACAGAATGGAAGTATCGCTGCTGTGACAGAAAATAGAGGTTCTCTCTATCATTTGTAGTGTATAGACGCATATGCTTCACTTCGTCACTGGCACTGTGGAAAAGAACATAAAGATCACAATTTAAAATCAAACTCACAAGAATTAGGCACAGTACTATATGTATAGATAGATATATAAGGTGAACCAAAAAAATGTGCCATTGTTTTCTAAGAGAATCATGACACTGGTGTTTGGAACAAAAAATTGGATGCCCTAAACATTTCAGAAAGGAATAAATTTGGCTTTACTTTAGGCTTGGATTTTTATTTCAAATAAGATTGAAACAAAAGTAAACAGTAGCCAACCAAAATAAAAAGTGGTGTCAATGCATGAAACACATAACTGGTGGCATTGACTACAAGCAGGGCATAGTCTGTCACAGCCTCTGCATGAGTGCTATGCAAGTACTGTACCATATCCTTAAGATCTTTGATACAGAGAAGCTCGAGACTTCATACAAAAAGACTGGAGACTCAACTTGAAGGAAAAATATTTTAAAGTGATTTATTAGAAAAAATCATAAATGAGATTTGAACATATGGGATCATGAATTGAATACTTTCAGGTCATCTTTGAAGCAATGGAATGTGCAAGACTCACACTCTCACTATATACTCATTCTCTCATGTAGCTGGATGAGAGAAAGTTTATTGGATTCTATTACTGTCCTTGCTGGTTCTGCACTTTTCAGAAAATAAAATGCCTCTAGCAAGTGACCATAGACTGTAGCAGTCATGGTGTCAAAAACAAGTCAGACTGTATCCACTTATTTTCCCCTTGGATTTGATGGAGCATGTTTATTTTTTGTCCCCCCTATTAAGGTTAAGGGAGCTCACTTACCTGAGACTCAGAGCATATTTACTGTCCCGAATACTCTGTCTGAGAAGGTAGGCACCAGGTTCTAAGCACTGCAAAATTTTCTTCGCTTCTTCTCTATCCATTTCTCCTGCATACCAATCATATTGTTCCAGAGGATTCTGATGCTGTGGCTAAAAAAAATGCATCACCAATTACATTTTGGCAAATGACAGAAATAATATACAATCAACAAAAAAGATGAAATCAATATGGAAACTTGCCAGGTTTGGTTCAGGCACTGGGGGAAGATTCACCACCTGTCCCCTCCTCCTTTAAATTGTAACAAATTCATCTCCATTAATGATCACAAAGCTGTACTGTGTGGAAGGGAGAGCTATTCGTTTTGACTAATGCTCACCTGTCTGGTGGCTCAGGGTTAACTAGGGGAACTCGGCAATCCTTGCAATCTTTTTGGCCAGCCAAACTCAGGACACATGCTTGATGAGCCACTTGGTTGCACTGGCTGCACCTGTAGCCCTGATAGATAAGTCCCTTCAAGAGCTTTGAGCATGCAGCACAATAAGTCACTTCAGGGAAGGATGCAAAGCTGAAGCTGTGCTCATTCAAATCACGTCCATGGGGATTAATCTTCTCCCTGGAAAGAGCGTAACCCTCTTTTTGTCACTCTCCATTCACAACCTTGCTCTGAACTTTGCAGGAGTAGCAATCCAAGAATGGCACTTACAGTGCACGATGGATGGCATCAATCCACAGCTGCTTGGACTCACTAGTCTTTGCATTCATGGTGATAGCACTGGAATGATCTTTAGTGGCCAAAATCCAAGAATATGCCCACCTCATATCACGTGTAGGATGACGCCTCTGCATGTGGTCCTCCACTCGGTACTCATCAAGCATTATCAAATCTCTGAAGCTATAGATCTCACCCTAACATGACAAACACCTGAATCATGAATCAGCCATAAACCTCTCTTAAAGAACATGTCAAGATAGTAGATGTTTTAATACAAGAAGGCTGAACAGTTAAGCTTAGTTTCAAGAACTGTTTTATATATGTAGTTGAGATCCAAGAGCTGACATACTTGTACTGACCATGCAGAGTGAGGGGATAGTATGCTTAACTAAAAAACAATTATTTTGCTTCAGAGTAGCTCAAACAATAAATTTACAAGAGTCTGTCAAAGAGCAATCATCACTGGATTGAAGTGTTACTATTAGGAAAGTATATACAATACAGGGAAGAAAAAATAGGCAAATACAACAACATGAATAATATGAACATGAAAACAGCACGATAGCAAAAGCATGCACATCATGCATGAGGCAAGCAATGCTGACAGATACTTAGAGAATGATAGAAACAAGTTTTTAGCGACAGAGTGCAGCACAAACTAAATTTCGCCCTTACTATCATGTTATGACAGCAAAGACATGGTATGGGAGACCATTCATGCAGGAGGATGATGAGGTTGCATGTGAAACAAGCTTTAACAAACCAGCTTCACTGGAGCCTCACATATAATTACCAGTGGTAGGCAATGTACTGCACTTAAGTCAGTAGATGATGAAAACTAAGAGGCACAAAAAGACTATGACCCTGGCTATATATTGAAGAAATAAGGACTACAAGAATGCAATGACATCAAAACTGGAAATTGCCAAAAAGTACAATCCTGTAATTTATGGCAAGGTAAGCATGATCTTTGTATTTCTGACAAAAGATTCAGAACTCTTCACGTGCCAAAAAGAAACCATACTTCTTTGAAAAAAGCATCCAAATCATAATCCCAAAGCAAATTCAAATCAGAAGTACCAATTTAACTTTTGGAATGCTGACCTATAAGGTCTTTCGACCAAAAGAGGTTACCATATTCACTTTAATAATCCCACAGATAACTCCATTCTGTGTTGACTCTGTAAGTCTCACCTATGACAAATCCCTACTGTGCTTTTGCTGTGGACATGGTTGGCAGTTGCACAAGTGATAACAAAAAAGGATCTATAAAAGGGCATGTTTCTTATGACCATAAGAGACCTTCAGACAGTTGTACTCTTAGAAGCAATCATCAACATACAGCAGTGCGTAATGTTTACTGACAGATGAACGTCACACCCAGGTAAAGAGTAACCCTTCAACTGCTGAGATTTGTCTTGAGCCCCTGTGCTAAGAATTGTTCAGGCTTTTGTCAGTCTTATGAAAACTGGTAGTAATATGAGTAATGTGCACTCACATTTGCAGTTAAGATTATGATGTGAGTGGAATTTTTCGATTTTCTGACACTATATATTTACACTTACTACACCTAGGACTAAGGATGGTGGCTCCTTGAAGTGGTGGATATATACATCCATCATAGTGAAATGGTTATGGCTGGCATGAGCCAGAGAGGCCCATCTTTGAAGATTCAACCTATGAATGAAATAAATTATTTCATACAAGCATAATTAATGACAAAGTTTCTCTGAGAAAACTCTTTTCCATGAAGACAAGTATTCTATTCAATAATAATAATATTTCCTACTCCAGGATCTGATGTGGGTCTCCATTCATTCCATTTCGACAAGTTCCTCAGATTTGGCTTATATTGCATCTCATAGCCTATATCTCAAATTTCATTTCATGTGTCCCAATCAATGACAATTATTGTCCTTCTTCACAACCCTAAACCATAATGGAACCATTCATCAGAGAATTGAAAAATGAAAACTCTGTTAATGATAAAGACAACAGATGTCATATTAAGCAAGTCCCAAGAACAACTCAAGTTGTACAGTGGGAGGTAATATATGTCACCATAATTACATATAAGCACGGATTGAAATTCAACACCATAAATACAATATTAAATTGTGATAAATTTGTGCATGGGCTAGTACACAAGCTTATCCACTTCCAAAACCAAATTTTTTTTTATCATCTGTACTGTATGAGGCTTGAGATGTCAGTGTCCCAGGAAATTGAAAAATTTGAGATATAATACTCATTCTTTAAATTTAAAAAATGTCTCATCAAATTGGAAAGCATAATTTTCAAATTCAGCCTGAACTGCAACACAGACAAATTGCTACTATGATATATAAAAAAGTTTCAGTTTCATTTTAAGGCTGGTATATGTGACAATTCCCATGCACCGATTCCAAGCAGGAGTTAAATACCAGTTAGGAATCACATGCAGACATGCCAAATCAGGAATCTTACAGGCCAAGTGAGAGTTACATCTCAGGTGCTCTGAGTGGTAAATGCAAAAATGCCATAAATATTGCAAAACCACAGCCAGACAAGCATAAGAAATGAAAGCCTCAAGATGGAAAGAATAAAATAAAATTTTCAAAACAGGTCAGTTAAGCCTCCACATTTCATATATATCATATATATCCTTATGAGTTTATGGAAGTTCTAAATGAGAGAGTAAAGCCATCTAACAGTACCTTTGAACATGAAATTTGAACAGCACCTATGTACAGACACTGTAACATGAACTGTTACAAGCCCATTTGCAAGGTCTCCCTCAGAACAGTTCTTCTTAAAAGCAAAAGTATTGTTTCTGGGGGCTACCTCAACAATGATTATTTTTGTAACAAGGTATGCTACAATGGCTGAACATGGGTACTGTCCAAATTTAGATAATTTTACTTTCTGGTTACTCTGGAGGGAACAAAATGGGAATAATTAACAAACATGTTTTTTGGGGAAGCTGTAATGCACCTCTTTTGAGACAATATTAGTTGTTACAGAATGTTCTTAATAACCCTAGTAAGGGAGGGGGGACACAATAAAATGCAGGGATCATGCCATTTTGATAATGTGCAAATGGGTTTGTGCAAAGAATTCTGGCATGACATAGTCAAATTTAACTCTGATGTAGGCAGTAATGATGCCTATGGCAGTAAAGATGCCCATGCTCAGCCCACATAAGTATTGGAAGAGCTGGACAGACAGTTTGATCAAGACATTTCTACACTCATGTGCTGAGCTATGAGGCCATGTTTTGATGAACGGAAATAGTGCAGATAATTTCCATATTTAAAATGAATAGGACTGAAGTTCTTGACATGAATCTTAGCCCTAATTTCAATCTCTGCAAAATATTTGCAAATATCTTTCTTTTTAATATTATCTTTTAACATTGTTGTCATGCTCTTTTGTATGCCTCCTGTAAAAAAAATTAATTTAAAGGGAAGGCTTCATGAAAGAAAAATTGGGGGAACTTTGACACCATGATGTGCAAATGTGTTGAAAATTGTCTTAGGTTTGTTGTTTTACTTTCTGCTTTTCAAAGTAGATGGCATCCCATGAAGTAGAAAAAGTACTTCCACAATGAATGAAACAAATACACATGCAGTTACGACAGAAACATGTAAAAAGGAAGAAATGATTTACCCCAAAGAGCTTGTCCACCATCTGAGCAAGGAGAGAGGAATCAGAAGCAAATTGATCCAGATGGCACTAGCTTTTACAAATATGAGTATATGAAACTGTGAGGCTCATATACCAATTCTAATTATCAGGGCACAGCAACAAAAATAAGCTACTTTAATGTTGTATTCACAACTTTCCTTGAAAATATTTTTTTTTTCAGGGTTGTTATAATATACCAGATGTTACTGAATAGCTGCAGAATTTTTTTTTCCAAAATTGCATAAATTCATCAAATTCATTCAGAATTCATCAAATATTAGAAAAGAGCAACTAATAGTGCCTATTGGCATGACTATTGAATCAACATGAACAAAAAAAACATGGGGTACATGAAGGTGAGGGGAGTCAAGTAGCAATATCAGAGTATTCTGTTTCTAATTAGTGAATTAGAATAAAACTTTATTGTCTAATAGGGAGAGAAAATAAAAAAGCTTCCCCTAGCAATTAGAATAGCAATTCTATTGCTCCTGACACCATGGAGAGTCCCAAGAGAGCTTTGAAGAATTCCATGGTAAGAAAACAGGTTGGAACTCTCACATTTCAAATTTAGAGGATCAGGCCTTTTAATTATTGGAGACTTTACTTCCCCTAGATGTCAAGCCTCCCTCAATAACCTATTCTCATAAAATGGTAGTTGAGGAGTTTCCTATTGTTTAATGTCAAATTTGTGAGAGTCTTCAAACAAATGAAAGAGGACTCCTCATTCACATCCTCAAGATCTTGTGGTTTTCTACCATAGACTTTACTTTTCAAAGCAATAAATCAGGTCAAGCAAACCACATCAGAAATACCAGTATAATCTGAGATAATACACACACACACAGTAAACCCAGTAACTATGAAAATATTGATAATCTCTTGTATTCTCTGCCTAAAATGACACTTTACTCATGTCATTCATGCTCATTCAAAAGGAGCTTTGAAAAATCTATATTTGGCTTCATGAACACCCCACACAGCATATTATGAAACATAGACAAATAGCTAGCAAAAAATTTAAATTTCATATGCTTTTACCACTCAAATTGGTGTATGGTTTCTGTTCTCAAAAATCAATAATAGAGGTATCTTCACAAAGTGACCACCCTGTATAAAGATGCTTTTTCATTTCCATTCTTCAGCCTTCTCAAATCTGCATGAAAGTTGCAAGATACAAATAAAATTCATTCATGTGCCATGAGCTTATACCCTCTCCACACAGGAGTGAATTGAAAAAATTGACAATTTCATGGAATCCCAACTCCCTACAGAAGCTAAAACATGACAAGGAAAGGATGTTTCAAGACTGACTTTTTACTGTGGAGACATTTAAAAACTTAATGTACACAGCCCACCCACAAAACTTACCCAAGCTTCATCAATATATCACAACAGACTACCCTGCTGCAATTCCACAGGATATGTTACAACTGTCACTTCACCATGTATTGCCTTTGAGGATGCAATGATGTTTGTTAATGAATGGGAATCATATTATAAATGCACCTAGGAATTAAATCTATATGCTGCACTATCTCTGTATAAACCAGGGCATCAGAGCTGGAATGGAATGGAACAGTAAACTAGAACGGAACTTTTGGAACAGTATGAATGAAGGAGAAGAAACAATATAAGAGACAGATCTTTCTGATCATAACAGTTTGTAACAGTTTATATCGTTACACTGAGAGGCCAACCAGGGATATACCAGCATACCAAAGCTGACCCTTGCACTATGAGTCGTGACAGAAAAGGACTTCTCTTTTCTTTGTTGTCGTCATCAGTTTTAATCTTCAGTTCCTTCTTTTGCCTTAGGACACTGAATCAGTTATCCCTGAAACTTTCACTCACATATTATGAGGTGCGGAAGGCATGTTCTGTGTCATACCTCATAGGTATCATCTGAGCAGTGTATGTGTATGTTCTACATTGCAGTTTTCTATTGGAGTATTTTTGCTCTTATGGCTATCCCATGTGTGTTGCCATAAGGTATATGTACCTCTGGTAAAGTAGTGGTATTTGATACAGATATGGACTTCCTTGCAGATTGTCAAGCCAAAAAGTAACCCAGTTTATAAATATTTTCTATATGATCCACATGAGGACGAGTTATGTTTTCAGGTGAAGGATTGTGCACTTTCTAATGTCAAGGTGAATCTCTTATAGGCCATACTTCTTCATTCTAATGAACTTTGAATGAAAACATTGGAATAAAGGAGATTTTAATAGAGACATGCTGGGTGTGTGCCTTAGAACTTTATTGATAACATTATGAAACGTTATAACGGAATGGAACTTTATAAATTCCGAAATTAAAATGCTCTGGAAAGGAACTTTATTTCAATGATAATGTTATCCCAGAACTGAACGTTTTCCCTACAGTTCCAACGCCCTGGTATAAACTAGTCTAATTTATTTTGCACCACCCAATATATACAGGTGAAGATACTCCTCAACTCAAGCCACAAGTCCATTAGAAGTCAGATAGCAGTATAGCTATATATTTCAAGTCTGCACCCTGACATTACTCTCAGTTCAATTCTTAGTGATAGGAGAGGGACAACCATCATCTAATCAAAGAAATGGCTGGTCAGTTTCTTCATTGAATCTGTCATTGGATGTATCATTATAAATTGTTGTATGCCTCCAGGTATGTCAAATATCAAGGGGTTGACTGCCAACAAGGAAAAGCTTAAAGTAACAATGACGCATAAAACTATCCACACCATTTGTGGGATTAAGACATGAACCACAAGGTTCCACCTCCAACAAGCACAAAGGATTTTGCAGACAACAAGCAAAATTCTAAACATTAGTCATGTCATCATAACAGTGCCAGGGGTCTGACCTTTCATTATCCCAGAATGTGTCCCAACTCATTCTGGATAGTGACATTAAAAAATGCTCACACGTACACACAGCCAGGATTCATTATGGTATATTGAGGCGACGAAGGACACAGTGGCAGGGTACGCAGCAGAGGACACTGGGTGGTATTGTTTACCTCTGCATTGGGGTCCTCATGAGAGAAGAGCTTAGTATCATCTCCACTGAATTGCCACAGGAGAAAAGCTTTTGTGCTCACTCGCTGGTAACACACCACGGAGCATAGGAAGTAAAGAATCGTACAATGATGATCAGATTCCCCAAGTCAGCTTGAGAATGCAACATAAAAAATACTCAAGACATCTTAGCATAGTGTGAGCTCCATCCTGGATTGAGAGCAGCCATGAGGCTTTTCAAAGCCAGACAGTAATGCTGTGAATGATGATGAATAGTTTTTAAAGATGAAAGATGGAGGAAGGCACCAAAGAACCATTTCCAAATAGACATATTACAAGTCTTAGCCAAGAAGTAATTTACTCTCCTTTGTATAGATGCTACATACAAGGAAAAACCAGGGTCACACCCCTAGCATGCTTATTACACAACATCCAACTGGGCCTACCATGAGTTTCAAGCAAAGGATGGGTGTCTATTTTGGTTAATTTTGGCCCTATCTCAGATTCTGGTTCTACTGCAAGGTAATAATGGAGAGTTTTGGCACATCCCCCCCCCCCCGATGCATCAATACACTATCGATAGTTCAGGTTGATGCATTGATGCTTTGAAAACTGCTGTGACAGCCCCAGTAAAAATAATACCTAATTGCATCAAACCATTATTTTAATTATAGAGATTTTCATGGTGAGAAACTTGCAAAATCCCATTTCCTTTAATTTTCCGGACACTTGAACAGTGAGATAGCATACTGTCTTTTCATTTAAATCATATAGGGTCTAAAATACCTATTATTTTCAGATGGGGAACATGAACTCACACGTGTGGGTTTGCAGAAGAGCATGGCACGTTCAAAAACAAACACATATCTGAAAAGAGAGGAGATGTGAAAATAAAAGATTGCTATGTTCAGTCAATGGAATACTAGTCCAAGAAAGACATGTTTATCAGGGTAAAACAATGGCTCAAGGCTTGAATCTCTAATTTATTCCCTTCTGACCCATTTTTCAAGCAGAACCCATCTCCTATTGCTGGTATTGAATTCTTGCTCTGGGGTGGACAGATTTGTCTATTTGTAGAAAAGAGAAGTATGTCTTTCATAGGACAACAGTCCTATTCCAACAATATATATATTTGCAACTCACATGATAAATGGCTCTTTAGATGTGATTTTAATGAAACTACATTTGGACATCAGATTTGTAGTAGGCAAGATGTGCAGCTTCTAGGATTTCTTACTTGACAAATCACGGAATACTCAAGATTCAGAGGCCATTACTCACCTTGACTTAGGTTTCTTTGTCTCATGGGGTTCTATTTTCAATTCTCCATCCTTCAAAAGCCTCCCGTATTCCTTCAGTTGATTGTTTCCAGTCTGTTTCCAATCTGTGATACTGGACTAAATAGGGTAAAATAAACTAAATGAATAACTTGAAGTTTCTCTAGTCTCTTCTTCGAGGTTACAAGTACAGGACCCCCACAACTTCACTAGGTGCAACTGAAATCATTGTACTCAATTCCAAACAATTGCTGTTGCTATCACTGAATATTTTACTCATGTTCAGTTGCAAAAAGTTGGCTCTTTAGAATACTTAGAGCAGTGGTTGCCAAACTTTTTGAGATGAGGGCAGCACAGATACTTTGGTCCACATTGAGTGGGTCGCAGTCAGCCTGGAATGGAGTGCATTAAAAAAAAGAAGCAACAATTCTGCAATGTTCACTCTTAAACTGGCTGCTCAAATTTCAGGTCAATGTACTTAAAGCAAGGAAATCCCATTGAAAATATGGGTGGTAATTGTAAACTGCTAGTATCTGCCTGGATCTATGCACACTTCAACTATTTGTAATCGCCAAAAGTGCCCCTACTTGGACTCCTTTTTTCTCTCATCTTTCATCCTTTACTTGCAATGTTGGATGTTTTCTCTGGTGTATATGAACTCTCCAAATTTTAGGTTAATTCAGTAGGAGCACACTCAAATTTAAATATAAACCTATAATTAATGGGTGTCCATATAATCCCAACTCTTTTTTTTTTCATGTTTATTCATTTCCTTCTGGTAAAATAATTTTGTACACTTCTGCTAGCATGCAAGTTCACCTCAAGTTAAACTGGTAGTTGGCAAACCTTCTTTAACCCTTTTAGTGCCACACAGCTGATTCATAGGCTAAAATGACAATATGTCTTTCCCCAGGCACTAAAAGGGTTGAACTGGAATAAAAGGTTACAAAGTATGGGCACATGGCAATGGAAAACCACATTCAATGTGAATTTTATGATGGCAGAGGCAACAAAACAAAGTATGTCCATATAAGTTAGTATTGTATAGTTCTTCCCTCTTCATCTCTGTTTGCTGGGCAGCATATCTATGAGCTGATTCTTCAACTGTAGTTTTTATATTCCACTAGTTTGAGAGTATTCAAATTAATCTGCCATGGACCTTCTGATGATTCACAAAGCACTTAAGTAGTTTTAGTAGTAAGTGAATAAGCCATTGGAGACAAAGACTAGGTTTACTTCATAAAAGGAGAACAGTCACTGGTACCTGCAGATCTTCAATGACTTGCAGTGCCTCTCGATCACGAGTATATTCGTTGACATAGTCAGTCACATCTCGAATGGCATTGTATGCTTTCTCGAGCCCATTGTAGTCCTCATGGTTCTAAGATAAGAAAATGGAATTTGCATTAGATTCAAAGGGAGAAACCTTTCTGCAAACCACTGAAAACCTACCAAATTAAGTCCTGTATAACCCATTTTTGCTTACTTTTACATGGAAAGGATGGAGTCCTGAGAAAGCAAAATTATGGCAGGACAAAGTAATAGTGAAATTAAATGCCTATGGTACAGAATTTCTACATAAAGAATGTCCAATTGGCTCATTGGCTTAATTGGCTTTATTTTGGCCTGAATTGGCCTTAATTGGCCTGAATTTGTTTATGGGTGTTTTCTATCTTACAGGATAAGTGAAGTTAGAATACATTAAATTGATACAGTTCTTTACTCTAAAATCTTGCAAGGCAATAAATGTTCTTTCAAGTGAAACACTTTTCAGCCATGAAAATACAGGTAAAAATAATATCCATAGGTCCAGTGAATTCAAACTGTTTGACCCTGATGATTCCAGAAGATATAACACCATGACAAAATTCCAGCAGTACATAGGTCAAGGCTTTCTTCTAGCATCTGGAATGAGAGTTCAACTCTCAAGCATGAAGAGAAGAACCCACTTTAGGATGCAGTGCAGTCTTGATTAGGGTGGTTACTCGAGAAAAATGCCATCAATACTGAAAATTTTTCCCTTAGAGTGTAACCAATCTTGAATGAAATGGTGACATCACATTAGTTCCTTCTTCCCTCTTTAGCCCAAATTGGAGAAGTTATTCAAAATATGGTCATAGCATGCAAGATCACTTCATTCTACATTTGCTTTGTTTCTTTCAGAATAGTCCATTTACTACCAAACTCATTATTTTGTTTCTGTTTGGCCTCACAAATGCAACCTCTCTGTCCATTCAGTACATATTGAGATAAAGAGATATTACATAGTCTGACCTGCATCATGTCAACTTGTTTAATAATTTCCACACTATTAGAAAATCTATTTGCCATTTTTCTCCTTGTCGTGGAAATTAGTCTAAATAGATGTCTCCTATTCTGAAACCAAGCCTGGTGATGTCTCAAGGAAAAATAAGAATCATGTAGTGTCTATGGTTGAATGAATGTAGAATATACCCTTGAATGTAGTGCTGTTAGTCTTGTTGTCTGTTGGTTACTTAGTTTGTCTTTTTGATTGGTCTGCAATGCCTGTTATAAAACAAATTTTAAAACAGAAGCTACTCTTGTGAAAACCATGACAAAGGGGATGACAAGCAGTCTCTGCTCAAGGCACATTGTCCCAGCCCTCTATAGGTCACCTCATAGCTATGCTTCACACTTCTCATTCTCTTTCCCATGATCTGCTTTCAGATTTTTCTAATTTTATGAAGTTGTTATTGAATGGAGTAGGCTGAAAAATGTAAAATAAATGTAACTTTCATGCTAGTGCCATATTCTGACCAGAGGTTGTCAGGGCTGGCATGTACAGGCAGATGAAGGAAAGTGCAGAGACCACTTTTCTCATGACTCACAGGAGGGGTATGCTTCAGAAGTTCCTTTAGCAGGAGATGGTACTTGAGTATCCTCTGATAAGGTAATGCAAGAAGATCCCGAAGCTTGAATTTCCCATCATTTACTTCATCTTGGCAGCGCTGCACATATTGATATTTTTGTCAACATAAACAGCCATTCCAAGTTTTGCACATGGAGTGTCATTGAGTGGCACTATTAAGATAATCAAAAATGATCACAGCAGTAGTAGGACTATGAAAAGCAACTCACCGCCACTTGTTCCCTGACACTTTCATCCTTCTGACAAATTTCATCTATCCGCTCTTGGGCTCTAGGTAGGTTGGAGCAATATTCACCATACCTGGTGAATTTTGGGGCTTGAGCAATGATGACATCACTCACTTTCCTTCCACTGTCAACTTCACATGCTCGACACAAATTCTGATGGAAATCTGTATGAATCTCTGTCAGTTTCTGTAGAAATATGTAAAAGGAAACTCCAGGCATAATTTGAAAGGAGAATGGGCTGATGCCAACACAGCAATGAAATATTTAGCAAATATCATACTGAGATGCTAGAGAAGATAGTTTCTTGATCTTCTGGCCTCAAATAACTTCCCAGAGGCTTGAAGAAGCTTCTCTTCAACATGTTCAAGGCCTCAACATACTTCTTCTCAGTTTCCAATAATTCCTTCAGGGCATAATCCCTTTTTTCTTGTGGAGCATGGATTGCTGCAGGAATCTTTCATTCAAAGGAGAAAGGGTATGAAAATCAGAATACAAAATATAATAAATTGATACACTGCAATACCTCTGAAAGCCATGGCTCACATTCCCTGAAGGGCTTTTCATACATCTACTTTGATGCATGCTGTTGATGGATATGTATGGGAAACTGCTATTGAGAATCACAAGCCTGAAAATTTGTCCCATACATTGGCCACAATGCATGAATTTACAAGGCAGGAGTAGAAAAGCAGAAGATCAAAAAAAGACTTTGAGCGTCTATTCATCAGTTTGTATTAATCTGCTGTAACGCATGCAAGAATGGATGGACATTTAACTACAGGCCCTTTAAATGTCTAAAATCTGTATGTTTCTTCATATACAAGTTCATCTAGAATATCAGTCCAAGTACAAATCTGCCATTCCACTGGCCACTATACCTCTGGAATTATTTCACTACACTGCATCAGAACAATACAACTTAAAAAATAAAAAAAACCTGTTACTTGTACTTGGAATATATCTACATAAATAGTCTCAGGCAACTTGACAATGTCCTCTATGGTTTGCATGTCCACATCTGCAAGGGAGGAGTCTGAAGTGTTGGACGCCCAATACAGCATTTCAAAAGTACACTCAGCAACCCTGTCTGCACTGCTATGAGCAGCCATTCTCTCACTTTGTCTACAATGGATCCATCGTTTGCAAGGGCAATGGGGGAACTGAAAGATTTAGTCATTGACTACCATCCCAACCCAAGCAGAAGGCTGTACATGCACACTGAGGCAAATTGTCCAGTTGCTACAGAAAATGTTGGACAGATAAAATGAACAAGAAAAAAAGTGACATACTAATCGCAATATCTGATATTATCTCATAGTATCTATGGGAATGGCAGATAATAATGGATGATCTGTTACATTTTTAAAAGTAGCAATGAAAATAGACCTTGATCTGTACCTAGATAAAACTTGCTAGCAACACAACAGGTAGTAGGCAATTTTCAGTTCTGAGGTACACTTTAGAACTCCTTCACTTAGGATACCAAGTGGATAGCAACTCATTACTCTGACAGCAAGGTGGTTATAAAAAGTAACAATATAAAAAAATGAGGAAAATTCATTTGAATTTTTTATTATAATTTATAACTGCCTGTTATAAATGAGGCAATACAGGGTGACTCAATAGAGGAGGTAATAAATGAGGTAGGTTGTCCTTTACTACCTCCTACAAGACTTGTTTCCTATCGAAGAATCATTTTGGGAATGTCATTGCAATCTTAAAAAACAAAAAAATTTCATTTTGTGGAAGAGCAGAGTCATAAACAAATGCAACAATCCCATTAGTAGGAATTATGTAGCATAGACAAGCATTAAGAAGAGCAGCAAGCAGGAAAGAGTCCTGTTGGCATGAAAAAACTTCATACAGGAGGAACCATGTAGTGAAGAATTCTGCAAGAACAGGGTGAAAATGTTTTTCAGGCAGGGCCTTGCTCAAAATATACTAATGAAGACACACAGCTATTAGAAGCCAAAAGAACTCAGTAATCACAGAGTGAAGACCTACCATGTTACCAATAAAAAATGAAATTCTTCCACATGAAAATTTCTTCAATAAAATTTATGCCTGAAAATTCTCACAAAAGCAGGGAAGAAATTCACAGAAGCACCATGACACAGTGGGTAAACTCTTTGGATCCTCATGTTTTTTAATGACTGATCCCATTAGATTGAGTAGTCCTCCCTTCTGTCTTGGTGAGGAAAAGCTCAGGCACCTCAACATTATTATAATCAATCAGTGCAATCTCCAAATCCACATCTTGCATGTATCCAGAGAATACCATAGATCCAGAGATCACTGGAATTTTAAAATATTTATTTAATTCCATTTATTGCACAGACTCGTCACTGCTATTTCAGAGTAAGAGAGAGTCTAAGTCTGACATTTTTATAGCTTAGGGCCAGGAAAATGTCAATTATTTTGATTGGATGTCAGTACAGGTGATTAGTTTATTAATATAGTGGGTATGCCAAAAACACAAACAAACATATTTTTACTCATATATCCTTGCTTTCATTGCAGAAATTTTCATGACATTTCCACAATGACTAACATGTTCCCAAAATATGTAATCTAAGTTCATTTCACCATAGCAAACCAAGCAATGGTTTTGCATGAAATAAAAATCAGGAAAAAGTCAAAAGGATGACTAGCCTTTCCCTTTCGAATGAATAAACTCTGCCTATCACCTGCATAAACCTTTACAATCACCTCCTACAGCTTCATAATCAGCATATACTGCCATAACTCCATCTATTAAGCAGTTGCCGAGCATAGTTTGAAGTCCTACAGATTTACAAGTTTTTCCCAGCATACCTTAGTTGATGTAGGAAGGCTAGCGTGAGGTCAGAGAGGCAATGCATGAGTTTCTGCTTAATGTAAGTTCAGGATACATACAGACTTGCTATTAATGTTGAAATGAGGGCATTTTCTTGTTAAGAGATACCATTAAGTGGAAGTTGTCAAGCTGTCATGGAGCAGAACATTCCAGATGTCTTAATTGAGCCAACATAGATCATATCCCCTTTGCTATCAACTGCCACTATGCCACCAAGAACTTGTAATACAATGATGAAGTTGGTAATATTTAAAACTTTGACTGCCAAGTCCAACTTTCAGTTAGATGAATTGTTGTCCCCTTGTGGTCAGATGACTTAGCCTTAAATGCATGACCAATTTCATTCATCCTTTCACTGACATGTTGTTTGTGCTCAAAATGTGCAGAGGATGTCAGAATTTTTTGTAAGGTGGCATGGAGTCTCAGGAGGCCACAGTATAAGTGTGAAAGGTGTAGAATGCAGTCACAATAATACATAACACATTAGGGTGTATTCAGCATAAGACCCACTGATGGATTGTACGCAGTCAAGGTGTTAAATTATGAAAAAACCTCAGCAGAATCGGGTTTACTTGCGCACATTCTTTCCAAGATTCTTCCCAAGATGCCATCTCTGATAAAGTAATTAAAAAAAAGAGAGGGTAGGCGAGTGGCCAGCCCTAGAAATTACTTTTTCATTTTTTACCCCTTCTTGGTATGCCAGCTTGAGACTAACATTTTGTTTTTAATTAATATCTTCATGATGGTCAGGAAAAGGTAAAAGAAGGTAATGCTTTAGGATTGTAGTGAGGTGGTTTGTTCTGCCTTGTACAATAGAGCAAAATAAAATGGAACGATGCATGGAAATTAGCATACACGTACATTGGAACAGGTTTCACAATGACAAATGAGTTCTAAAACTATCACCGTAACCATCACCACAAGGAAGTTTTGACAAGGCTCTCATCTATCACAAGAATATTGAAATCTTCATATTTGCCCTTTTAGGTATTGAATCAAGCACATGTGCTTCATGCTGCAGAAGGCATTGAATTCTAACACAGAAAGTTGAGGTTGAGGACAGAAACGAGCTGCAAATGTTAACTCTTGTCTTTATAAATAGGGCTGTCCTGATTGCAATACTGTTCTGTATTGTTCCTATCAGCAAAATGTCTACATATAGTGATATCATTCTTCAGTTTCATACTGCCCCTTCTTGATTACTGTAGTATGCAAACAAGGCTTAGAAACTGGAGGAAAACCTGGAAGATTGCATTTAAAAATTCTGCATGGAAACTTTCATCACCATATGCTACCCTCTTCTCCCCTCAATTACTAGGGTTACACAGAGATGCTCAATGAAGGGATAACTTAAATGGAGAGGGCTTAGTTGCAGCATGTCCCACTTAGCAGTTGGAGGATAGGAAGGAGATAGCAGGCATGACCTGATGACACTGTCCCAAGATGGCTGTGTGAGGCATGTAAAATAAAGGGGAGGAATGGGGTAGGTACCATCACACTTTGAGAGCTGTGTGCATGGTAATGCCAATGCCAAGCTGCACTATGTGGTTTTTCAGAGGCATTTTCAATGAGGACCTAAGGTGATATTGGTCAATATATGGTCAGCAATATCAATCCTTTCAAATCTCATATCATCCAGCCCTATTTATAAATATGCTAATAATGCTGCCGGTGTCACAATCAAGAGTGTTCAGTAGCTTAAGATATCAAGAATGAACAAGATAAATAATACTAAGCAAGCTGTTAAAACAATCTCACATTTTGCATTCTACATTTCTGCTTTCCTTCTCATCTCTGGGAGAAAAAAGGCCCCTTCTTACATCATCTTACACCTTAGTCAACAACTTATATCTTCAACAATGTAAAAAAAAAAACAACAAAAACATGAAAGTGAAGGAAGGAGTAAGCTATATACCTTTGGAGAACAGCAAATTTCCTGATATATCTCTTCATGGTCTGGCTCGTTGCTATAGATGTATGAATAGTCATCATCCCCATGTCTCTCACTTTCACTGCTGAGCAGCACAAGCCAGCATGCACAAAGAAATGAGAGGAACAGAGAGCAAGAGAAAGGGACAGAAAAAGAAAACATGAGAATCATTCATACATGAAGCTAGTTTGCACATGCAAAAAATGCCTTCAAGTTGCCAACACCCACCAACATTGAAATCACCATTTGATTCTAGAACAGCAACAAGTACTCACTCATTTCTAATTTGCAACATCTCAAGTTGAAATTTGAATAACAAAGTCCAGGTGAAATATGATCAGCGTGATTCAAGATTTCATAGTGATAATGGAAAAATGGTGTGGTGACTATGTACTGATGGCAGAAGATAAGATGTCAATAACTTCTTAGCTCACTCTCAGGGTATAAGGCTCACAGAACTCTAAAAGAAGGTTAGGAAAAAAGATGACAGAATGATACTGAAGGGGCAGAGCCCCTTCTAGATGTTTCTAGCCTCATGCTGACATTCTAGGGAATTTGTGTACCCCATACATAAGGATTCGTTACTTGCAATGTCATGTGTTCAGGTAGTGATTTCAATGTGGCATCAAAAATAAGAAAGGCTCAAAATTAGAGACTGATTCATATCTTCTCAGGCATAACAGCAGAGCAAGGGTCATTCTGGTGAGGCCCACACCATGTGAGAAATATTAGCAAGATGGCACAGGTGTGCATAATGCAAGTGGAATGCTTGACAGAAGTTATGCCTTCAATATACCTCAGTCAACTTGAATGTGATATAACAGATATCTTCATAAATTTCTTCTTCTCGGTCACGGGAATATATGGCACCATTGTCTGCAAACGTGTACCTTAATCCCTCAAAGTCTGGCTGAGCTGGATCATAGCTGTAGCTGGGGAAAAATGTTATCAAACACATCAAAGACTTTAATGAGTGGGAAATTGTAGTGAATTAAAGAAAACCCTACATTGCAAATGCAAAGTACATAGCTTCCTATTTTGAATAGAGTCATCACAGTGGTGAATATGCTGAAAAAGCATTTTCTGCCATGTTGGTTTTAAAGAAAAATCAAAGCACTTCAAGTGAGCAACTGGAAAAAATCATTCACCTAGTTTCTTCATGTCCCACTTTGACATGAATACATATATAATTTTGCAATCAACATGAAGAAATACTCAAGTCCTTACTTGGCAATATCATTCAAGTTTTTGTACACTTCAGCATCATACTGCCTTGTCCGGGAATCAGCTGGAAAGCCCCTAAAGGAGAGAGAGGAGAAAAATCTCAATCATATGTGGACCTCAAAGGAGTAGCGAGACTCAAACATGATAATTGTGGTCTAGATGAATAAATTATTTGAACAAGCCATACATGTCATGCAAAATTTCCCATGACCATCAACAGCAGTTCACTATATTTTTTTAAATCCACTGAAACAGAACAAAAACTCCCATAAATATAACTTACCAGCAAAGAATATAAAAAGGGAATGAAAATACAGGATGGCCTCAAAGTTTTGTAACACTTTCAAAAAGAGAAAAGTTCTTTTTTTTTTTAGGGCATAATTATCTTCCTTTGCTAGTTAAATAGTACTTCATCAGTTGCAATGCATAAGTTTAATTTTTTCCTATGAACATTGCTGAATTTATCAACTGGCAACAAATTTGTTTGCTGAACAGAAACAGAAAGCCCTTTAAAATCAAATGTTCAAAGAAATTTAACTTGGCTTGAATGAACCACATTAAGACTCACACTATCTGGAGCTTCTTCACCCTGGGGCAATGGGACAACTCTGAGAGGGTGTGTAGCACCTGGAAAGAGAGCACAAACAAGGCTAATACAATAAATTTGGCCAGACCATGACTTCAGGTTCTTGCTATTACAAGAAAAAAGGTTGTCACTGAAATAATTCAAATATTCTCATATAAAAACTCCATCAGAAAATTACAATTCCCCATCCCTATCAATAATACAATATCAAATGTGTCAGCTAAATCTAATTCAGTGATTTCTCTTACATCTACTCTGAACACCACTGGTGAAAAATACTACTACCAAACTTGAAACTTGAACATCATTATCAGCCATTCTCTGTCCTATGCTGAATGAAGGCCTCCAAATTCATATACTCCTCCATCTCAACCAGAGCTGCTAGAATACACTTGATGCTTTCTAACATTTTGAAACATTTTTCTGTCACATAATCTTTCTTTTGGTCTTCCCTTTGGACATATTCCCACTCCTGAATGGCACTTGGGAACTAATTTGAACATTGGTCATCTCACATTGTACTAGGATTCCCACCAAGGGCCATTTGCTCTTCTGGATACTCTGCTAAGAACAATATGCTTAATTACCTGATAACAAATGTAGCCCCAAGAAAAACTTACCTTTCCAAAATCTGTTCCATCAAAGAGTGCAGATGGTTCAAAAATGTCCCTTTCAGGTAAGTCAAACTCCTTGTGGCATGCAGACTGGAATATCCTCAAGTTCTTCAGGCACAAAAACTAGAAAAGAGAAAATAGTAACAAATCAATGAGAAATAGTGTCTTACATTATAGTACATTAGAAATAATAGTTTCCTTTAAGACAAATAGAAAAAGAAAAGTGAGTCTGTGCCAAGGACAAAAAAGAGGTGAAAGATCCATAATTGCCAGTTGAATTAATTTGTTATTTTACCCATTTATTGCCTGGGAACTACTTGGATGATGGAAGATGTGAACAAGTAAAATCCTTTGATCATAGACCTGAAACTACTTCATGCTCAAATTATGTTCAATGCAAGGAAAAGCCATTCCACTTAGTCTTCCTGATTTGACAAGGACAATGTTATGTGTTCAACATCTAGGAATAACAACAAAACCTTTAAAAATAGGTTCCCAACCAATAGGACACAACCTACTCTTGGATTGATGTGGGCCTTTGATTTGGGTCATCTATGATCCAAAAAATAAATCAAGAAGGAAAGAAAAAGTTTCATTATTTTGGATACATAGAGTTTTTCCATCCATATTCTTATCTATCTGTTAATAATCTTCTCTAGAGTCTTATAAATAAAAAAAAAGGGTCACTTGGCAAAAAAGGATAGGACCCTTTGCCTTAGAACCTGGTAAAGGCTGTAAGTTCTGCAATCCTTAACTGCATTCCAATAAAGCCAGTTTTCCAGATATTAATACTACCCAGTGCAGGTCTGGCATGCACACCTGTCCCCTACTACATCCTGGGCCTATGAACCTCCTCATTCCATACCATACTGCAGTCTCCTCCCTTCATCCTTGCTTCATTGTCTAGTTGAGTCACTTGTCCTCAAACATAATAACCAGGAATCTCATTTTTCTATGCAGGAGTAAGTGGGACTCTGGGAGCAGTAACAGAGAGATCAGGACTGAATTTCTATATTGAGTGGAAGCATAAATACTAATAATAATTCTGAGAGCAAGAGCAAAAGGATTCTGAACGAGCAGCAGCAAGAATTTGAATTTTGTAAGCATCTTGTTTCTACCCATAGAACACTATTGCTACATATTTCCATGCTTTAGGATTATCAAAATGCATCTCTCTGATTTTTCATGTAGGCCTACAATGCATGAATGACAACTGAGAAAGAAGTTAGATGGTAATGTTGCAGTCAAATGTGTCTTCAGGAATTCATGCATCATATGTGGCATCAACCAGTATAGGGTTGGGATTCTGATCCCACTATTCATACCCTGTGAGAGAAACAGGAATCCATATACAATCAACCTATTGGTTGACTGAAAGTTTGACTTCAAATGAATCTTCTTACTCCAAAAGTTTAAAAAAGCCAGTGTCAGTCTATCACCTGGGATTGTTCAGATTGGAACAACCAATAACTAAGACAACAGGACTTGTTTCCATTCTTGAGTGGCATTTGAAGGTCTAGACCCTCACAATGAAGGAAAATGCAACTTCATAATCCCAACAATTAGACAGGACTGATCCCATTTTTGATTTATTTAACCCCTTAAGGACCAGAGCTGCAAATTTGCCTCAAACCAATTTTGACAACCTATGTGATCAAATATCATAAAAAATTACATATGCATCAGTTGAGGCAAATTTGAGACACTCTGAGCCATGTTCTGATAACAGTGCTTCCACCTCACTGTTGGTTTTGCGAGTTACATACCAACAAACACAAAAGCATTGCCTTTATGATTGATTCTTCTTAAAACCACAAAAAAATTCAGGCATTAAGGGGTTAACATCTCTCCTATACTTGACAGGCAATACTTTCCCAGAAAAGAAGTAGCAGCTTTCATACAGTTACAAAGCCAAGTTATTACTCATATTAGTTAATACTCATATCATATAAGTTATTACGGGCATTGTACGTCTTGCGCACACCACCAGAGCACCATGCACACGGTGTGCACTCACATAGTACGTCTTGCACACACTAAGGCAACATGCCCCTATGCAAGAGGGTTATCTAAGCCCAACATAGCACACGTGAGGAAATTGTTGCATAAAGTGGGGGACCATTGGAGCCATCTTCACTACCAGCGTAAAATGCTGCACGGGCACGGCTTTACCATCCTAACCTGACCCGACCCGAGCCACTGTTCTCGAGCAGTCATTTGAGCCAATTTCCTTGCGTTTTCGACGTTTTGACATGCTCATGGCTTGTTCGTCATTTTATGCAATTTATGCCATTCTGTGCATTCACATTTTGCCAGCAGTGTTATAAACTATGCATTCTTCCTCCAGTGGGAGAGGGCTTAAATAAATTCAAACGTATTCCAGACGTGGAGGTCGGTTTTCATGATTTGACATCAATGCCTCACCAGGGCGTGGGAGGTCAGCTGGGCACGAGACGCACTCTAACGTAGGAGAGGACAAGGATGCACGGTGTACATGGGTGGGCGCAAGACGTACTCTGGGTGTGCGCAAGGCGAACAATGCCCGTTATTACTCAGTTTAACCTCTGCAAATGAGTCACCTTGATTACAGAAGTTTCTCCTATCCAGTAGCAAATATACCAACGATTTCCTTGGATGTCAGGATCCAGTTCCTCGCTTACATAAGAGAGTTGATTAATCTTTGTCAGCAAGTTATTTTTAAAAAAAATGGGCAAACCAAGAAAATCTTGACACAAGTGTGAGCAGACAAACTGTACTTGCAGCTAAGAAATTAACCAAAGAGTTATGTGCATAATAAACCTTTTAGCCTTGGCCTAATGCCCATTGCTGGTACAGCATGCAGCCTTGCGCTACGAGATGCAACTCACCCTTGCAGACTGAGGGTTCTTGTTGACATCTCTCAGATCGATGCATTTTGGTTTGAGGATGTTGAGAAGGTGGCACAAAATAACACCGTCTCGCAGCGCAAGGACGAGGTCTTTAACTTGAGCGTTCTCCCAAAAGACTCGATGATCGGGAGGAATCGCATTCCACCGTTTCAACCAATCCGCACAATCTCTCCACAAGTTGTTCGCCATTGCTCTCTGGAGAGGAAGCAGTGATGTCATGAGACCAGTGTCGAGATCGGCCGCGCATTTTTCGGTACTGGGAGGCCTTCCTCTCGGAAGGGAAAACTTTACTCTGTCTCGTGAAGGAAATGGACAGTCCATTTTATAAGTAGCTTCCAAACGCTTTGCTTAGAATGATGGTCCGATTCGCTGATGGATCTTTGGCATCGAACTCTTTCGGAAACCTGAGGAAGACACTACTGGTCACCAGTGGGTGGAATTGGGCGTTGAAAGGTTCGGCTTGAGACCGATTTCACCCATTATGACGTCCTGTGACAAGGTCGACCGTTCATGTATCATAAGATAGGCCTATCACTCTTAAAGATAGATATTTTTTCCGGAGCATATCCACCTACTGCCTAAATCAAAACATCAAGCCCCTTTTTTACCCTCATAATGCTGGATTACGCAGCTCATGTACTAACCGTCCCCATCACAATGGCAGTATTGGAAGGTTTTCTCTGTGTGACAGATGCTGCCACAACGGCATCACAAGGGTTAAAGCTAGTCATGGTAGGGTAAACCACTGCATCGTCGCCTATTGTATTCCATGCATTAATTGCCCACAAGTAAAGAAATCATTCCGCAACCTGAATGTTGGGGGTTACGTAAGTTGAACCAGTTTCCTCTCGTTCTGCTGCTGCCATCGAGTTGGAGGAATCAACCAAACTCGATGTTATCGATTCTCTTGATCTTAAAGGCCTGGATGTGTTCCGGCCTTGTCAGCCTTCTCCCTCGAGATTGAGCTCCAGCGGGTCTAAACGCTTCCGGACCGAAAATCCTCGAACCTCTTTTATCATTTTCGTTGTTCGCCTCTGAACTCTCTCGAGCGCTGTCGGATCGCATTTATCTGCAGGCCCCCGAAGTCGACGCAATACTCTAAATGGAGTCTGACGAGAGCTGCGTATGATGAAAGACTAACGAGCGAGCTCTTAATAGTAATGGATGCCGGATGAAGCCGAAGATCCTATTACATTTGGCTCCTGTCGGCTACGCTCAGGGGGAGAATTTGTTTCTCGTCGATGGCGACGCCGGCGTCTCTTCCCTCCGTTTTGTCTCACTCTCATCAAATCTCATGAACCGTGATTTTTCTCGTTGAACCTCATGAGCCGTGTTTTACTCATTGAACCTCTCGAGTCGTGTTTGACTGCACTAGTCCAAATGCCGTGAAGCCATCTCGGCCCTCGCCCTGTCTTCCTCGTGGATATTTTAATATCGTCGGCGAATTGGCTGATTTTACTCCTGAGACTTTCTTCCCCACTTACAATTACTCTCTGCTCTCTTCCCAACTTTTGCTTATCCAATTACCTTCCCGGCGGCCACTCATTAATCCGGTTACTCGACCTACATCGAATCCCGTGCGACTCCAATTTAGCACGCAACTTCTTGTGAGGAACGGCATCGAAAGCCTTTGCAAAACGCAGATGAACGACGCCCAGGGGATTCCTCCTCGCAAAATCCGTGCCGAGATTCCCGGAGGAGCGAGTTTCCCTCCCCAGAGATTCGGAGATGCGGCCTCTCGGCATGCCTTCTGGGGATGCCTGCTCGCTCTCGTCTCCCCTGTTGACCCTGCGACTACCGTTCTGGGTCGAACGGGAAAATTTAGCCTTTTGTGTGGGCTGCGCCGTGAACTTGCGAGGACCGAAACTCCGTGAATTTCCAGAAAGTCATAGTAATTAGGCAAAGTATTTTGAAGGGTTTCTTCTGGAGCGAAGAGGTGAAACAAGGAGTCTAAACACACGATCCAGGTTCTGGCAGCCAAGGATTAAATAACGGCACGACGTCCACCACTCTCCAATCCCTTGGCACCTCACCACTCAAAAGCCATCCTCGACGACACTCGCCGGGTTGCTTTCCCGGCCTCGCCCCATCCCACTCGCGATCCCTCCCTCCGCGACCTCCTCCCCCCGCGACCTCCTCCCTCCGCGACGCAGGCAGGGGCTACTTCCGTCGCCGTCGTGCCTCCACCCCGTCGTCCTTGAGGGATCGAATGTCCGCCGCCGACAGACTCATGAATTATTTTTAGCATCGACGGCCGGCCGCTCCCTCCCTCTCGTTTTCCCCCTTCGATCTAATTTCCCGCTTCGGTGACCTTGCATCCGCCCGATGCTCGGAAAAATTCACAAGACTCTTCAGACGGATTTTAATACGCCTTCAAAGCTATTCCCGGTTCTCGAGCAACCGTCGAAAAAAATAGTTCTGCGCTCGATGCGACATCGCGATCTCGGCGACATCGCGACCTCGGCGACATCGCGACCTCGGCGACATCGCGACCTCGGCGACATCGCGACCTTGGCGACATCGCGACCTCGGCGACATCGCGACCTTGGCGACATCGCGACCTCGGCTCGGCAGCTCTTCGACCACCAAGGAAGGGATTCGACGCGAGTCAATCATTGTCTTATGCTACCTCGATCTGTTTCTCGCTCGATTATTCGTCAGAAGTCGATTGCGTGAATGTCCTGGCTGATGGCTTCGATTATCCGCTAAATTGTTCTATGAATGTTTTACTGCAGAACCAGAAAAGACCCAAGCACTCGATCTAAGCTGTCTGAGCTAATAATAATAATAGTTGAAATATTTAAAAAATCATTCGCATGGCGATTGAGAATCCCTCATAAATACTTCATTTAGATTGTTTTCGGCTGATTGCTTCATGAATCGGGTTGGAACGTGAAGGTGCTCCATGGGTACCATTTCCATTCCATCATCAATTATTTGGGTAATTGTAGGTAATTTTTGGTAATTTGGGTACATTTATGCTACCACCTCCCCATTTCCCGCCCCTCGACGTCGTCCGGGTTCTGTACGAGAAAGAATAACGAGTAAAAGTATAGATCGCGATTGCATCGCTAATCATTTTCGCATTTCGTCGCTCGATTCCGTCATCGTCGAGGCGACGAGGCACCTCCCGCGGCGAGGCACCTCCCGGAATGAGGGATGCTGCGTCTGAGCCGTTCCAGGAAATCTTTTTCCGGTTTCGGAGCTGCATCCCCGGGATCGCATCGCTGTCGGAAAAAAAAAACCAAACGCGTAACGCGGACGAACCGTTGGGAAAGGTCCTAACGAGGTGCGCCCGCTTCCTTCCGACTCCGAAGTCAAGTTTTTTTTTTTTTCGGTCGGGTTCCACGACTCGTCGATCGACCGGGAAAAACTGTGGGAGAGACGGAGACCGTGCTCCCTGTGGAAGAGGCGAGTGGAGACTCCAGTCTTCCTCTCTTTTTCCTCATTTTCTCTCCCTTTTTTTTTACTTTGGATGAGCAAGAGGAGACAGTGTACTTTTCCTCTCTTACCTCTCCCATAGGAATAAAAAAATCATAATAATAATGAGGGAAAGGAATCAGCGCTAGCTTTTTTTTTTCTTCTTTCCTAAGAGTGTTATAAATTAAGGATATGTTTTTTTTTTTTTTCTCTCTCTCTCTCTCTTTTGCAGTTTGCAGCTGTTTTCTTCTCGGGGGGATTATTGCAAAAAAAATTGCTGGTTCGAATATGACACGGCGGAGTGCATAAGTGAGATCACTCGATTCGATGAATCGATCGAATCGATCAACCGAACGCACTGGATGATATCGTTTCGCTCTTCGACTTGTTTTGGCACGGGGCCGCGAAAAGCAAAAAAAAAAAGCCACTCGATAGTGATTCATTGATTTGCAGGAGACGTAGCAAAAAATTTGGCAGGGATTTTGTCTGGATTTTGTCTGGATTTTGTCTGGATTTGTTTTGAATTTGTTTTGAATTGGGTTTGGATTTGGTTCGGGTTCTTTTAATATTTGGTTTAGATATAAGTCGAGTCGGGTCTGGATCCGGTCAGGATCCGGCCTGGATCCGGTCTGGATCCCTAAAAGGGGCTCATCCCTCCCTCTCCAAGAAGTCGAGGAGCCGTGACGGCGAGAGTCAATGGACCTTTTACCATTTCGGTTCATGGACCGAAAACCATCGCGGCCCGGTCTATGTTTGAATATAGACCTCCCTCTCTCCCTCCCTCTCTCGCTCTCTTCCTCCCTCTCCGCCGGTCCATTCATCAGGGTTGTCAAATGCAGATCCCTCTCGATCTGGCGCCTTGCCACCCCCTCCCCTTTTTCCCTCCGATTGAGCACATTCCGAATAAAATTATTTTAAAATAACATTTACCAACTTTCCGATCGATTGAACTCGGAGACGCTTAAAAAAAATTGCCATTTTCTGCAAAAAAATTTTTTTGCACATTATCTGCTGAAATTTTTTGCGCATTTTTTCCAGTCGCCCAGGCAAGAGGGATGTTTGCCCCCTCCTCACGCTCGACTGCGCCCTCTCAAAGCCCTCGCTTCCCTCTCGAGGGCCCTCCGATTATCTCCGCTTATCCGTTTTTGCCCCCGTGTCTCTTCCCCATTCAATAGAGTGCAGGGAAAATGCTTGGATTTCTCGGACTTCTCGCCGGATATCCTCGCCGGAAATGTCCTGCCAATGTCCTGCCAACCCCATAAATAACTCCCTCTCTCGGATCGAACTCCATCGATTTTCTGGAGGGAAAAAAAAATCAAAATTCATCTCCCATCTTTTATTACTATTTTCTATCTCGAAAAAGGACTGGAGATCCGTGAACTGATGGTGCCCAGGGCGGTGAGGAACGGATCCGTGAACTTCGTGATCCTGGACTGTGATTACCGCCTCGTGAGCCAGGAGGAGAAATTCGGCCTCGTCATCACCTGGTACCTCAACCTGGCCCACAACCCCTCCCCCGTCTACCAGTGGATCCCTCGACAGCCTCCCAAGGTGAGACTGCCGAGGTGCCGGCACGACTGGAAGTGACGTCACGTGTGATGCTAGAAGTGACGTCACCCGTGATACTGGATGTGACGTAATCTCCAGCTTCTCTCTGTTGTTCTTGGGCTTAAGTTTTTATCGAGTCGATTGTAGCCCTCAGATGAAATGGGCTTCTCTAATTCATAATTACTTTCTAATTTCACCGTTATTTCATGAATAATTTATTGCGCTCGTTTCATGCCGCAAGGAAACGAATGAAGAAAATTTTGGTCTGCAAAATAAAATGAATGCACATTAAACATATGCACCAATTGATAAACAATTTCCATCTATCCAACCCCCCCACCTTCCCCCCCCCTTCCCCCCCCCCCTCCAACCCTCCCGCCCCCGTGACCCCTTCGCGACTCGGTTTAAGACAGCGGTTCCCAAACTGTGGGTCGCGAGAGGCATGAAGGTGGGTCGCAAACATTTTCCCGGTGTAAAAAAAATGCCAACATCCGCATCCGCTCAGGATGAAAGATGCCCTGCAGAAACGGTCGAGCCTGGATTCCGGCGGGTCGCGATTCAAAGAAGTCTGGGGGCCGCTGGTTGAAGATGTGCTTCGGGGCGGTCGTCGGCAACAGGCAGCCCTCGGAAGTCCGGCAACTCCACGTTCGCGGTCCGACGGTAGACGATCAATAAAGTGAAAATTGCACGAAAATTTGAAAAAAATTTTTCAAACGATCCATAGAAATTTCTTTTTGAACGGGCAAATTTCTGCGCCATCCGGTTCCCCGGGGGATTCCGGTGCAAAACACTTTCTCAGTATTCCCCAGTCCAGCTCAGTACTTGCAAAACCGAGTAAGTATCGCGCGGGATCGGGACTTCCACGGTTTCGAATCGGAAAAATTCGAAAAGGTATCAAATTTTTTCTCCGCTTGAGGCTTTCGAGCGACGGCGAATTTGTGGATTCGTCGAAATCGGATGGGAAAGAAGGAACCGAGACGGTTTCTAAGTGCTTTTCGGCTAGTACTTTCCACTCGGTACTTTTCACTCAGTACTTTTCGGCTTTTCCTCTGTCCCGGGACAAAATTTGAGCTTTTTACGGTGTTTGGATCGGGGCGGGGCGCCTTCGCGGTTCTTTTTGCCGAGAGGGGATTTATGATTTCGTCGACCCGAGTCATCGAGTCGCTGGAACTCGAGCTCACGACGGGGCGAAACCGCTCGCGACGGGGCGAAACCGCTCACCTCAGGCGGGGATCTTTCGCGGCTGGAACGAAAGAGAGGCCGGAACTCGATCTCGAATGGTTTCTTTTTTATGTCGCAGACGCGCGCTGGAATCTCCGCGAGATGCACTGTCCCGTTCCGGAGTGCGTCGGTCTAACAACAGAGAGGGCTCGATGTCGTCGCGTACGATCCGCGAGGCTTTGCTGCAGCCCGCGGAAAGCGAGACGATACGACGAACGCGCCGCCGCTCCCCCACAACGAAAGCACTGCGAACCGCGCGCGTCCACCGCGAAGGTCCAACGACACGCAAAGAATAACACCCAGCGGTCCGCGAACAACGCCCATCGGTTCGCGAACAACACCCAGCAGTCCGCGAACAACACCCAGCAGTCCGGGGTCTCAGCGCGGCCTCGCGCACTCGGGGAGCTCACCCCTCAGACTGCCCCGCGTCCGCTCCCCGCCCTCCCTCCCATTCCACCCTGGAAAGCGACGCGAGCGCCGCCACTCGGAGGAGCCTCTCACTCCTGCGTCGTCTGCAACCTCGACCTCCGGATGTCGATTCGCGCCCGATTCGATATCGATCCGACACGCTCGATCTAGGACGTTCGATCGAGGACGCGACCCTCGCGGTGGAAAGTCGAACGACCGGCTTTCGGTCGCGCGGTTGCCCTTCGGAGAGAGCGTTTCGATCCGACGTTCAGCCGTGCTCGTCGCGACCGCTCGCTTCGAGTCGTTCAGAGGCAGAAAATCCAAAGCCACCGATCCACCTGCGTCGGAGAAAAGCGTTTAAGAAACAGACTCCGATTTGTCATGGTGCTGCCCGTCCTCGCAGCCGAGAAATTTCTAAAGAATTTCTAGAGATTCCCCTTTCTCGGCCCTCCTCCCGCAATCTCCTCAAGGTCCTCCCGCCTCCCATCACAGCATCCTCCCAGACCCTTTTCTTCCCTATTGATGTACCGGGATTCAAAATTTCTGGAGTGGAAGGAAAAGCAGAGCGCGTGCCGTCACTTCAAGAGGCAGACGAGGCAAAAAGAGGATCGACGAGGAAAAGATCGACGAGGTACCAGAGCGCGAGAAGATGGAAGAGAAGAGAACGGAGCATCAGACGAGATGGAACGATGAATATATAATGCAGAAAGGATTTCGTCCCGGAGGAATGAAGCCATTTCCGATTCCATTATCCCTGATCCTGCCTCTGCATTCCATTATCCGAACATCTACGGCACCCACCCGCTTCCAGCTGGGGACGGGAACCCATCTTCCCATTCGGTTTCGGTTTTTGGTTTCGGTTTCGGTTTCGGTTTTTGGTTTCGGTTTCGGTTTCGGTTTCGGTTTTTGGTTTCGGTTTCGGTTTCGGTTTTTGGTTTCGGTTTCGGTTTCGGTTTCGGTTTTTGGTTTCGGTTTCGGTTTCGGTTTTTGGTTCGCCTGGGTCCTCTGTGCTTCCTCAAAGGCGTCGGTTCGGGTGGCGGCGGCGCCGGACGAAGCCGCGATACGATTCGCGAGCTTGCGATCAAGTTTTTTTTGTTTCCATTCTCGCGAAGACGGATCACGAGTCGATGAGAGGAGACGATTGGATTCGCAAAATTAAATCCGTGGGCGGGCAGAGCAATCAAACCGTTTCCTGGAAGCCGAAAGGGCTCATCCCCTTATTTATTTTATTCGATCCCCGTGACCTCCCCCCTCACTCACCGGGGGGCAGGGAGGGGTGGGGGGGGGGGGGGGGGGGGGGGGGGGGGAAGACGAGGAAAAATACGAGATCGAAGCCGACATGCGGAAAGAGGTTGTTCGTCCATTTTTAATGCCTTCATCCGATCCGACGATTTTCTTCCGCACGTGACATTTCAGACGATCGAGGAAGACGTCTGCGAAGTGTTCAAAAATTCACTCGTTGCGTCAAACGGAATAAATTGGTTTTTTTTTTCAAGGCTCAAGTAAACTCACGAGATGAAGTTGATATATATATATTTATTATGAATTCTTCTCGCGTGTGTGAAAGAAATTGCCTCGGTCGACCCCGACTCTAAGGGCTTCGGTCGCGAATCGATCCGTCGCCACACGATGTCTGTTCATTAAGGACCAAGTAAGGACCAAGTAAGGACCACGCTTCTTTTCGAGGAAAAACGATGCCGGTCTGGAAAGATTTCGGATTTCGAGGTGTTCGACCCGCGAAAAGCGACGACCGAATCCACGCGTTTCGCATTGCGTTCATCGGTTCATTTCTCTTTCGACGCTCGGGGGAGTCCACGTCGCCCCCAGGATCGATTCCACGTCGACAGGGTGTCGGTCGAATGGGCCGGTGTCGGCGGTTCGCGCCCCCGCGTGAAATCTCGTCGCAGCGTGCGGGAGCGGACCCGGAGCGCGTGACGGAATGGAACCGGAGCGCGTGACGGAATGGAGCCGGAGCGCGTGACGGAATGCACCGCGAGGCGTTTCATCCCGCGAAGGAACGCGAGACCACAAATTCCAGGGCTGCATTCGGCCGACATCCGAGAGCTATTAATGTCGAATCGGTGTTGATCTACCGCTGACGTCAACATTTGCTTCAAGGCTGATGAAAAAGGCTGATGAAAAAGGACGCTTCCACACGAAAGCAGCGCAGACGAACCGAATGGTTCAACAACAGCTATATTGGCGTCGGGCCCTAAATCAACATTGATTCACCCTGGATGTGCTACTTGGGCACGCCGATGGGAATTTTCAAGCTCGCTTGTGAGCACGAAACAAGGAATTTTTTTTTAACACATTGAGGACGGGAGACACAAATTTGTGTTTTCAGCTGCTGTCAATCTTTCTGGGTACTATTTAGTTCTGAGATGTGCTCGTGTGGATTGTAGACATTCTGATGTTTCCTTTAGTACCATTTTTTACCGTCGGCTGCGCTCTTATTGTTTTGTAAATGTTCTATTGATCCAGTAAATGCTTTTATATTTATTTATTCATATTGTTAAACACTACTTTATGTGTAGGGTGCCGGTCCTCAATGTGTTCAGGTGGTATCAGAATGTCGAGTTCGTTTGAAATTTCAGGACTTTTTCGTAGGATTCTCTTGGTATTTGCCTTGCCCCTCGCATGCACTTCGTGCATTTTCATGCGCACACAATCGGGCTCTCGGAGACCCCCTCCTGCACAAAATCCGCCATCTATCGAGTCCCAGTACGTCGCCCATCTTCGGTCCCAAGAGAGAGAGAGAGAGAAAAAAAAAACCGATCTCGAAATCGGGTAGAGGCGTGACCGCAACGATGGCACATGGGCGAAGAAACAACCTCCTCCGGGCTTCGAGACGATCCCCAAACACGTCAGGAACCATATTAAGAGGAACAGACTCGGTCGTCTGTTGACAAGAGCGTCCGATGTCCTCAGACGGAAAACCAATACCTCCCAGCTCGGCCAGAAGGAAACAGGGGTAAATGAGGTTGCAACGAACCCCTGTGAACCCTTGAACCCTTGACCCCCCCCCCCCCCCCCTCCAACACCCAAAGACTGAAACACGGTCCATCGCAGCAGCAAACGAAGTGCATTTTAAAAGCAAGATACCATAGAGAAACTTGCCGCGCAGCCGACGCCGAAACCCCGGCCGCCCGCAAAGAAACAATAACCCATATCCGTGGACACCTCAAACGAAACAACCGAGTGAGACCAGAACCGAAAAGAAAGCAAGAAAGAAAGCAGAGACGGAAAATTCAGGATTTTTCAAAAGTCTTCACGATCCCACGACCTCGCCGATCTGACCTTAATCGCCCTTGCGGTCCCCGGAGCCGCGCTGCCCCCAGCCGCCCCTTTCCCTTCCTGCGAAATCGCCAAAAACCGAACCTAGCAACGCACAAAATAAAACGCAAGATTGAACCGAAGGCACGAAAAAGGACCAACCTTGAGAGTCTTCTTCTGCCAGTCCTTGTTGTGTATATCCAGGGATCCATCGAAATAGAAGCTATTCACGTAATCCAGGAGCTGATCCACTTTTTCCGGCAGCTGTTCGTTCTTCGCCTCCAACTGCGGAGAAAACCGACATCGATCCGAGACATTCTCCATAGATCCCCGATAATCCCCGATAATCCCCGATAAATCCCCCAGAGATGATCCCCTCTCGGCGAAACCCACCTCCTTCCGTTTCAGGTCCTTCTCCTCCTCCTCGTTGACGATGTTGACCTCGTTGTTCTTCATCCCGACGATGCTCTTGAGTTTCCCGAGGATGAAGTCCAGCATCTCGTACTCGTTGTTCCTCCGCATGATGTCCTCCTTCACCTGCTCGTCGGGGATGTAGGGGGGGCGGGGGGGGGGACGGGGACGGGGGAGAGTCACACGGATTCAATCAACCGATTCTTTCACATATATCGTGTGCATGTGGGAATGCGTAGGAAGCCTGAGCCCGAAGCCTTCAAACGTTTTCTCTCACAAATATGGTGAAAGTCAGGAGAGTCAATAATTATCTTTCGTCCACAACTTTCGTGGAAAATGAAATTCCTCGCAAGCCAAGAAAACCTATTTACCAGCTTAATTGCTTCTCCTCGAGTCGTGTGACTCTCGTGATGCTTCAAAGTTGATCCAGTTTCGTGATGGGAGAGGAAAATACGACAGGTGGTCCCAGAGGATTCAATACTTAGGGGGGATGCACCTTCATAACAGGAAGGTTGTTTCGCTCGTAGTCGGAACGGGGATTTTGTTCCGTATCCTTTATGGAAAACGTCATTTTGACTTGAGAAAGCGCGTCATATAAATATTACGCATGCTCTCCTTGCGTGGGTGTGCCTGTCAATAGACAAGTTAACAACTGATTCTCGCGAGTCTCGGAGGAAAAGTTGAGCATAGCCAGTGGAGTATTTAACGGGGGGAGGGGGGACATGCACCGGATCCGTTTAAGCTAAACTAATTTGATTTCACAATTCCCATTATGAAAACGAATCAGTTTAAAGTTAAACGGATCTGGTGCATGTCACCCTTAATAGTGTTCAAATATGTTTTTTCTTTCATTATAAGGCCTCGTCTATGTTATCTATACCAGTTTTCTTAGCATGTTGACTCACAAAGAATTCCTCGCCTTTGAAAGTTTCATTTTCATTTGAATTATTGCACTGAAAGAAATCTTTAAGATTTTAAGAAATTTTATTTTGCTATGTTCTTTGTGCATTTGATTGTTCGAGGTTCGGCGAAAAATTATTGAACTGTTCAAGTTTTCGCCCGCCCTGAAACGCAAAAAAAAAATTATTTTTTTCGCATGGCGATAGAATGCACTGTTTGATGCTTCCCTTTCTAGTCGCAATCCCATACAAGGGATTGGATGAGTTTTAATAACAAGTCTCAATAGATGAATATTGGCGGAAAAATTGGCGAACAGTGATTGTAGTTTCGACAAATCCAAAGCCGGTTTCGGCAATGAAATGTCGTCTCCTCTCCGATGCGAAACTGTAGAATCTCAAGGACGGGGAAGTTTTCCTCGAAGACTCGGTATCAGAGTGCAGTCAATCGATATGGGTATCCGATAAGCAATCGGGGATGAAAACAATGACTTTGCTTGCAGCTCGTCGAGGGCGTAGGCGAAAGCAGACATTAAGATTCCTCGGAATGCTGTTTATTGGACGAGGAGAATGAGGATAAGTCTTCATTTCCCCATGCGATCGGAATCTTAAGTACAGCGGGAAAAGCACGGGACTCCGCCAAGAATGGGACACTGTCTCCCTCATATTACATAAAAGTGAAGATGTCGATCGAGTATCTCTCGAGGCATCCCTTAGGATTGTGTGGGAGCACCCAGAGGAGCTCGTCACGTCATTTCAGTCGCCGATCATCCGTTTTTTTTTTTCGGTCTTCCAAGCGACGAAACATGCGGAGAAACTGTGAAAGGCTGCGGCAGGATCCCGTAAATTCGTCTTGAACGTCGATTTCTGCAGAAGTGCGCGACGTTACTCGCTTTCCGCTTGAAAAAGGGATGATGTTCCGAAGATGATTTACAAACCGACCGAAAGGCATAAAACTGCTTAACGTTGGAACATGTCCCTCGTGCCTAGTGTCTGAGCATCTGTGAGTTATACCCGTGGAATGGACGGAAACTCAATTTTCAGTTGTTTAAATATTTTCCGTATTTTATGAGGAAATATAAGAAAAAACGCTCGAATACGGATACAAAATGCCGAAAACGATGGAAAACACCATCGCCTACACGCCGAAAATTCGTCTATAACGCCAATATCTCAATGTGCAGCGGCTCATTCTCGTTTTTACTCGCTCTTCGCTTTGGAGAACAAGGGTAAATGTGCCGAAAATGATTTTTATTTTCAAATTTGTTTGTTTAAGCTTGCTGCAAATGGTATGGTGTATCAATGAAACGAAAAAGGGTCAATTTTTTTTGGTCCATCCTGCATTTCATACTGCAATTCGCTCATCGATGAGAAACTTCAATGCAACCAAGTATCGAGTTCTTTTGATTAGTGAGGCAACTATAACATGCTTTTCCTGGGCGCCCCCTTCGCGTGCGGAAGGAACGGGGAGGGTGTCGCTCGTGTGGGGATGGTAACCAAGCAACAGTGCAAACCTTCTCTGGAAAGCAGCGAAAATAGCAAAATGTATTTAGCCTTAAACCGTCAGCCTAGCATATGTGTACGTGTCAAAGAGAAAACACTAAAAAATCAAATCGCACTGACGTCGATAGATAAATGGCATGTTTGCGACGCAGCACCTGGTGCCATCGGCAATGCCACGAATGATGTTCCTCGTGTTCTNCCCCCCCCCCCCCCCCCCCCCCCCCCCCCCCCCCCCCCCCATGAGCATAGCGAAGGAATATTTATAGTTATCGTGTCCTGCAGGACAGGTGCTACCTCCATGTGCATTTCCTTCGGAAAGGACCCGGGGATAAACTGGCGCTGCAGATGCCGATCGGGTGTTTGCATTTATGGATGCTGCACTCGCGTGGCACGAGTACTCTGGCGATGAGTGGCCCGAAAAAACCTACCTCACACATGTGCACGTTTGCGACAACGGTGAGAAGCGTCATTGGTGCAATGCCACGAATGATGCTTCCGATATTCTCCTTGAGTTGTTGCAGATTACGAGGTAGAAACCGCTCGCGCTGAAGAACACGAGGAACATCATTCGTGGCATTGCCGATGGCACCAGGTGCTGCGTCGCAAACATGCCATTTATCTATCGACGTCAGTGCGATTTGATTTTTTAGTGTTTTCTCTTTGACACGTACACATATGCTAGGCTGACGGTTTAAGGCTAAATACATTTTGCTATTTTCGCTGCTTTCCAGAGAAGGTTTGCACTGTTGCTTGGTTACCATCCCCACACGAGCGACACCCTCCCCGTTCCTTCCGCACGCGAATGATTTCTTCTCAATACTGCAGGTCAAGACTAGGTTTTAGGCGATGAAAGCGACGAATCGCTTCGGACTGCTCTTGCAAAAACTGGATCCCCTCCGCTTAGAAACCGACAAAGTATTGCTTTTCCCACGTTCCCTAGAGCAAGCTTCTGATATCAGCCACGTTGACCGATTGATATCGTGGGGAAAAAACGTGACTCATCCTTTAGCAAGAAAAAAAAGTTAACTTTTAAAAACACACACAACTCGAGGCGATTTCGGGAAGCGCCTCATTTCCTTTTTGAAAGGAGGCCAGATGAAAAACGAAAAGGAGGAAAAGGACGAGCATACCGCAGCGAAACTCTTCATGATGATAGCGAGGACGAAGTTCATCAGGATCATGGAAACGAATATGGAGAAGAAGAAGAACATGATGGGCCCCAGCACTCGATTCGCGATCGACATCTCCCTGAACGACTTCGAGCCTGCACGACCCACGAACGACCATCGTCAAATCGGAGTCATTTTTCCCTCGCACTTTCCCTTCCCCCCCCCCTTTCTCACCGACGGCCGAGAAAACGGTCGAGGCGAACGCCTTGGTGAAGGACGAGAACTTCTGCACGTACGGCCCCAAATGCAGTAGGAAGAAGCTGCCACACGCCAAAAACATCTGCCAAACCCCAAGCAAAGCACGCCTTAAAAAAAAATCTAAATCCGGAAGAACCGATGGCAAACGCCACCCACGAGGAGTAGAATGATCCCAAAGCTCCCCAGATCTTTCCCGCACTGGTTGAGCGTGATGGCCAGCACCCCCATCCGCTTGTTGAAGCGGAGGAGCTTCACGAACTTGAGCGTCGCGAAGAACAGCAGGAGGGCGACGAAGCACGTGAACATGTCGTCCAGGTACTTCACGTACTGCAGGTTCACGTAGCTTCCACCCTGGTTCCTCTCGAAGTCCGACGAGATGCGATCCCCCAGGACCTTCCTGAAAATTCACGGCACCGAAATGCACTAGGAGAGTCTCGTTTGAATAACACCAAGTTTCCAAGTCAAATGCGACGAGGAAATTCAAATGCGTCGCTATCATGTTAGACACGAAGAAAGCGAAATGCGATGGTAATATCTCAGGCCCGTGGCAGGTATGTCTGTTTGACAACCATGGATACGTCAGGTTCAGTCACCTAGGAATCGCTGAAAATAGGGAGGTCAGAATCCGATGTGAAAGGAAAAGAAAAAAAAAAAGGGGGGGGGGGGAACGTTTCAGACCATTCTTTAAAAGTGCAACATGTGGTCTGCCAAGTCAAATGTGGATGTGATAAAGCCGATTGCGGGATGGAAGTTCAAACACATTAGAACATGAGATTGCTTCAAGGGTCAGAAAAGAAACGGCGGAATTGCTCCTTCACGCTTCACGAATTGCTCGAAACAACACCTGGTCGGGAAAAAAGAGAGTAGGCACCATGACGAGTCGACCTAAAATAAAAGTTTCTTTCCGTTCTAATATGCTGCTCAAGACGTTTGAAAACGCCTGCCAACGGATGGAGGCGTCTGTGCTCTGCTCGACGAGACGACTTCTTTCGCAGAGCAAGAGCAGAGCTTACTGGCGCGATCGGAAAACGCCCCAGCCGTTTGGGTTTGTTACGTTGTGATATGGCGTGCCTGCACATATGGCTTGAATTATAAACTTTTCTCTCCGATGAATCTGCCTTCTAATCGAAGAGCAGAGAACGGGCTATTTTTAGGACCTCGCCTTCTCGAGTTCAGCGCTCTTGTTTCTCTCCTACTAGACTATTAAGCATTCTCCTTCCCCACCTCCTCCTCTTCTCGGTTCCTCGCGCGTGGCGAAGTCATTCAGCAGACGCTTTCAAGGGCCATCGCGGCCCCTTCAGTCACTTCTCTCCATTTTTAAATTTAAATTATGTCATTGCCATAATACCCGCCTCCATCCTACCGATGCCATCGCCACGACGTAAAAGCCCCTGCTTTTCACGATCTGGGGCTTTTCATTTCCCCCATTTCCTCTTCCGCATCTTCAAAGCCCAGCATCCGGCATCCACCAGGTCCATCTCCCGTCGCATTTCCATGTCGAATTTTTTCCCATTCCTTCGCAAGTCGACTTGCAAAAAAAAAAATTGCTAGAAAACTTCCCTCCCCCGACCTCGCGATCGATAGCTTTCAGCCTTAATGATCCGACCTCAAAGGCTGCCAATTAGATTTAATGCAATAGCGGCGTCACATCTAAATGCATCCCTGAGATTTAACAAATGCATTTGCATATGGAACCTGATGGAAACGCAATGAGAATCCAGTCGCCTTTCATCTTCCTCGAATCCCAAAAGCTTTCGTTTTTAACCTTTATACGTAACCCCTTACTGCATGGTGTTCCAGATATGGCACATACCGGAACACCGATACTTTTTAAATGCATGTTTGGTACCGAATGGGTCCATGTCAGTACCATAGCTGAGTATAGACTTTACGCCCTATTCCGCCGCAAGCTTCTCAACTTTTTAGCCATTAAATTTCATGTTTAAAAATCTTTATCATGAAATTACTTGTCTCATATATTCATCTCACGTCTTTGAGGTTTCACAAATTATACCTATTGCACTTTTTCTCTTCTTGCAAATTTCTCCCATTTGACAAAAACCCATAATTGTATTAAAATGACAAAAACTTGAACAATCTGATGTGATACATCTGACTTTGGTATCGTTAAGGAAATGTATGCAAAATTTTAAACATGTTCTCAAGGCTTTCATATATAATGCAGTAATTTCCTGCGTAAGCGCTGGCAGCCGGATTTCTTTGGCTTGTAATTGGCTCGTAACTGGCACGCTAATTTTTGGCTCGCTTGGATGACCGCTCGTAAACACTCGCTAGCCGAGTAGTGAAACTGTTCCAAAAATAAACTGCTGAGAGTATCAGAACATTTTCCCATAAAGATCCAGTCCAGCATTTTGCACCGTTAGGTCATGGGAAAATACTTTCTGCGGGACAGCAGTTGTCCCTTTCGTCAGATCAAGGTTAAAGAAAAGCAAAAAAGTCCGACGTCGAGAACAACGAGTTTAAATTTTTTGCTGCCGTCGTATCTGACTTTCTCATTTCCGTATCTGACTTACACAACCTATTTAACACGCAATACGAGTGCATGTTATATGAAATGCAATATATTTAACGACGGTTCAGACGCACTACTCGCCAGGTCAGACTTGAGATACCGTCTCAATCGCCACCGACCTGTCAGTTTCTGAAAAGGCGGTTTCTCGCTAAAAAAAAAAAAGCGTCTGAAACGGCGAGCGCTTCTTCTATTACCAGTCACCGGATATTACTTGGTTTCACTCCTCGACGGTGCGTGGCATTAGAGGCGCAGAGCTTCAAAATAAACCGAGAAGGAAGAGACAGAGTCACACTTCTACTGCAGAACTAAAGGTGGCACGAGGCCACGCCAGATCCGCGTGGTTCACGACGGAGGACAGCGTGGGTCATGACCAGACTTCAAACCGGTAAGACCTCCGTTATCGCAGCTATTTTCGCGAAACCCGCCAAATCCCCTCGGCACGGCGGTCGCGTCACAAAATCCCTTCCGTTGAAATTCGCTCTTTGGGCTGGCCTCCGCAATTAATGCCTGACGAACCGAAGGGTACCCGAGAGAGACAAGAAATAACTCAGACTCCCGCTCCCCTCCGCATTTCCAATTCACGTGTAAGAGCAGAGACACACTGGTTAAGAGCTGGGGGTCCTTTGCTGGAAAAAAAAAAACTTGTTTCAGGTAGAATTTCCTTATCAGCTGAAAACTTCGATTCTCTTCTCCAGACAGGTTTGCTCCTCGAATCGGAATTCTCCTGAGTCGAGGAGGATTTTGCGGTACTCGTACTGTGTCAGAAAGTCCGGATTGGAAATCCGATTCTGAAGAATCCTAAGAATCTGGAAATCCAATTCTTAAGTGTAGGCTGTTCCTCCACTTTCGATAGAAATTAGCTTAATATAATTAAAAGGAGTTCCCATCGAAAACCTGAACTTGATATTGATCGAAAGAAATGCTCAAGGCTTTGCTCTCAGTGGGGACACTACACTGATGCAGCAACAAGCAGGAACATTCGAATTTGAAACCATCCCTAAAACATTGGCAAAACTCTCGCCTTAGAAAGAGCATTATACCATGAGGCAAGCATTGCACAGTAAAGAATCTAAGCTTCCGTTAGAAGCAAATCGGTAAGCGAAATCATTCCGTCCTATACAGAAGATACGCAAGGAAAAACCGGGCTAGAACTTTCGAGAGACAGCACATACACCCGAGCTTCAGATAGGTAACCAGACGGGTAACCAGATGGGGGTAACCAGACGGATGAACAAACCTGTAGACGTAGAACACCATGGCGGGATACCCTAGCACGAGGACCATCAACTCCAGGTAGTTCCAGTAATTCTTCCAGTACTTGCTCCTGTCGCGGCACATCTCCGACAGCTCCCGATAGGTATAGTACACGATGAACAAGAAGGTGAGGATCTCGCAGATGAGCACGAACAGCCCGAACCCCGTGTGGTAGTAGAGGAGCCGGATGGGCTGGAGGCTCACCTTCGTCCATATGCCTCCCTCCGGCCCCTGCTCGGCCAGGAACACCCCCGACACGAACAGGTTCACCTGCGACGACCGACAGTCCATGCCATCGTTCCATTGTTGGATATCCCGGGTGGACGGAAAAACTCCGGATGCGGGATGGGGCGAACCTGAGCGTTGTAGAGGGACATCTCGAGGAAGATCGCTCGGGTCCTCTCGTCGATCCACATCATGCGATACAGGTCCTCGAGGGTGGACACCAGCGAGTTGTAGCCTCTCGTCGTGTCGAGGAACACGACGTATCTGAAAGAGACAGACTGGGATTCTTCTCGGTCGGGTAGAAGCATTTTTTTTAATGACGTTTCCGAGAAAGATTCTCCTTCCAGGCATTCTCTTCATCAGACGCATTCGATTCGGCTCCTCTCAAAGTGCACAGAGGCAATCTCAAGGAAGAACTTCGCGGGATTCAGACACTCGACATTCACGCATTGCTCAGAATCTCATCTTTCTCCCAAAACGACATTTTCTTAGGGAAAAGAAAGCTTCAAGCGTGTCTTTTAAAACAGCAAATATAATTACCAAAGCAACAAGTACCTGCTTCTGAATTCCACAGCAATCGAAGACGCCAGGGTCCGTTTGAACTTTTTTTTACAGGTTGAATGTCATGAAACATCTTTAAACGGAATTTCAGAAGGCATGCCTTAAGCTTCACCAAGATGCTGGAAAATAGGGTTGGCTCAATAAAAATAAAAAGCTGCAGCAAACTAACGAAGAGGACGACCACAAAACAAGGTATGACAAGAAGTGAAGCTTATACCATACCAAGGTATGGTATAAGCTACCAACAGTATCTTAAAAGTCTGAGAAGCAATTCTTGCCTACACTATATGGGCAATGAAAAGCTTCATCTGTCAGCAAAAAGACAACGTATGGAGAAAACTTTCTAGAACTTCCCAGAAAGCCGGAATTCACCGGTCTATGTTCCGGTAACTATGTTCTCGCTTTCTACGGGATGCACTTTCAGATGATAGAATTCCTTGTCAAAACATTTCGATAACTTTTCGTACATGGCGTTTCAGGGCAACCCTTATTAACGGTCGAAGACGATGGCTTTTCCCTTGCAAGGGAAAGCTCATATTTGCCTGACACTTTCAATACTTTACCGGTCAAGTCAAGATATTCAGCACCGAGCAATTGGATTCCTTGCATCTCACCCGCCACCGCCGTACCAGTCCCGATCGCCCCAGAACGGCAGTCCGTTCAGGTAGTCGGCCTCCCGGTGGATGAAAGCGTCCTTGTAATTGGTCCAGGATCCGTTGTAAGCGGGCCAGGATGCGTTGTACTTCGGGACCCAACCGGGATTGTAATCCAAGTTGTCCTCCCAGATGAGCTCGCTGAACTTCCGGCAGTGCGACGTGACGTCCACGTTCACCACGTGACTGGACAGCTCACAGTTGCCTACGGCAGCCAACCAGCGATTGAATCGCACAGAGCCGAAATAAAACGGCAGAAGGAGCCGACGAAGGAAAACAGACTCTCATCTCGAATGCGGACTTGTCTGAGGAGGACCTTGCCCATGATCAAGTTGTTCCGGTCGCCGGCGAGGAGCCGCTCCTCGGGTCTCACCGACTCGTTGTTGTAATTCGGCCCGATCACGAACCTCGAGAGGAAAACGTTCTCTATCCACTTGTACCACCGACCCACGTTCTTCACCTGCATCAACGACACCACTGTCATCCACCTGCCTCCCCCCCCCCCCACAGAGCCTCTCTCCTCTCGCTCACGGTTAGGAACGACGAGAATTTGGAGCTGGGCTGGACGAGGGAGATGTGGAGGTGGCGCTTGAGCAAGAAGGCGTTGGGGTCCACGTTCCCGTAGCAGAGGACCATGAGGATCCAGATGAAGAAGGCATACGCGAGGATCTCCGTGATGATGTCCCACATCCTCACTTCCTTTTCTCTCTGGAGTCGCATCTTCTCTAGGGCAGCGTTGCTCATCGGCTGGTAGTCCAGCCTCTGGCGTCGTTCTCCGGCTGTTCCCCAAGCACGAAGTCGAAATTATATTATTACGATTATTCAAAAATTACATTTTATTTAATATTTAATTAACTTTATTTCTGCCGTTATTACCCCTTTGGAGTCAAGGACATGAGAACTCACCCGGAGTGTAGAGCCATGCCTCGTCATGTTCCAATTTCGGGTTGTATTCGTCGTAGTAGACGTCGTCTTCGTCTTCATTCGCGTTCTTGCAGATGGCACTGAGGAACATGGCGACCAGGAACACCTGACCCAGAGAAGTTCCCGCTTCACAACCGAAACACGCCACTCCCGTTTTCTGCATAAAGAACTCGTTGAAAAAAAAAACCAAGCCTCCACCTTGATGGGTTGAGTGAGAAGGATGGACGTGAAGAAGGAGATGAACAAGGACGTGAGCCACTTCGTCGTCTTCCCGTTCCCGAACTGAACCCCATAAGCCCAGACCAGAAACACGGACCCAACGATGGAGATGAAAACCAAGATCCAAGCGATCCACTTACACCACCTGGTTAATAAACAAAATAATGGATCATTTCCAGGACAGGATCGGCAAAACGACGAAGAAAGACGAAGCGACCAAGGCAGGAGGCGCTTCTTCTTGACGATCGTTTTCTTGTGGAGGACGGCGCCGGGCGGGACGTAGGTGGCGGCCGCCTCGGGTGCGTCCCCCTGCCGGTTCGAAGGGGGACCGGCTGGGCGGGCGTACCGGGAGAACGGATTGTTCTTCTCTGTGTCCAGTTGGATTCGTCCTGGATGGATCAGGGGAACAACGTTCCAGTTTCGTGGACTCGGAGTTGTGATAGAAGGGCTCAGTGCAACGTAGAATCATTTCACGCGATCCCAAATTTCGGGGCGTCTATATCCCAGCAAATTAAGCAAGTTATGATTTGATGACATTCTGGACGGACCTACCAGAACACAGGCAGTTGAAACCGGAATATTAACAAATCCAACAGACGTCTCCTACCCACCCCATCCCACTGCCAGACTCATCGCGTCATTCGAGAAGGAAATCACCGTCGCTCGTCACTCTCAATCGGCCCGAGTTATGCAAGTGACGTGAAAGGAAGGGCATGGAGAAGGAAAAAATATAATGATAGCCCCAGATGATGAATGAGACTGATGTCAAGGGAAACGGACGATAACGGATTCAGCGATTCTGGTTGGACTCCCCAAACCAGGAGTGAAAAAATTCTTCAGTGAAGAACTGGACCGAGAAGAGGGTAAAGGAAGAGGAAGGCATGCATTCCTGAGTTTTGGGTCCAAAAATATCTTATATAAATTTATAATAAAAAAAGATGGAGGTCCTTGAGAGAAGCTCACTGGGTCAAAGGCTTGGAAATCTTGCTTCCTATTTCTCCCAATCCAGTTCTTCGATACTTTTCACCAATTTTCATTTTGAGTTTGGCCCTCAGGCAAGGTAATGATACGCTTGACCTACCTCACAAAACCTCATCCTTTCAGCCTATTCCCCCCCCCCATATCCCAGCAGGGTGTAGATACAAAGGAGGGCTATGAAGGCTTGAACCTCACTGAGTAAATAAATTATTCAGAAAATGACAAGACAACTGGCAAAGCAAGACATCCTTTTCCCCATTGCAGAAGGGAATACTTTGAGAAAATCTAGGACATCTCTTAAGTTAATGGTACTTCCTCTAGAGGAACAGTAATGGTTTGCAGCTTGTATTGATATATGTACCATAATAGTTTTCTTCTAATTCCAAAAATATATCCAGGAAGCACTCAAAAATATCAAGCTGAAGAGATAAAAGTTGAAGTTAACAGATTCTCCCATTGCAGGTCAGAGATAAAGGACCCTCATCTTCTTGTGATCTTCGTAGCTTTGCAGGCAAAAAATAGAGAAGTGGCAGAGAGAGCAGGAGAGATCCCAGCAATGTGTAGTTCATCCACGAAATGCCTTAAAAATAACCAAAAGAAAGCTTTATTATGGTGCAACATATCAATCGATTGAAACATGCCTGTCAAGGATTGAGACTGACCTATATTTGGAATGAGAAATGCACTGAAGAATAGAATACTGAGCAAGGATATAGCTCCTAGGATCCACCCACCAACTGCATTTTCACTCGAAGGATACAACACATCTGCTGCCAGTTCTAATGAGAGTGGAAAGGCAGCATAGTTCATTGAAGTAGCTGGTACCACAGTCCCAAACAGCATCCCTGTGAAATTGATTTTGTTTTAAAAACACAACATGTGATGAATATATCTAGAAATATTTGGCTTACACGTTGAATATGGGAAGACTCTGGCACAAAGAAGTGCAAATAATGCATAGAAAATGGTTGAAATGGAGAGAAGACCCATTATAGCACTTTTCAGCTGTTCATGGCACTGATCAAAGATGGTTGCAAAAAGCATTCCACACAAGGCTTGACAGGAAACTAAAACCAATCCCAGCCAATCTGATATGTCCTGTGAAACCACAGCAAATTTAAAAAAGAGATGCAATCAAAAAGAAAAGAAATGCACTCAGGTGGGGCCAACCTGGCTAACACCAAGTGCTGATAAGTTGACGTCGAGCATGCTGACCCAGGTGTATGGGACTCCTTGTGAGAGACTGACAATGAGAAGGAGCATTTGTCCCTCTCTTTTCCTACACAGGAAACCATCAGAAATGCAGTCCAACCTCATGAAAAGAAGACAAATGTGCAACAGAGGCCAACCCAAGTATTTGCTTGGAAGATGAAAAGAGTTCTAGTCTCTGCACACTGGAAGTTGGAGACGGTGGGGATTTTGGCTTGTTGGGGAAATACAGGGCAACAAAAAGGCAGAGGATTGCAGACATAACAAATTCTGTCAACAGAAGAATATGATACATTTTCCTAGATCATAAAAACACCTTCTACATGCAGACCCATCTCAATCAACTAAAACTTTCAACTTACCAATCAACATGAAATGCTGAATGCGAGCACGCTGATGAAAATGTGGCTTGAAGGATTCCATGGCAGGGAAACCCGTGGGTTTGGTTTCCTCAATATTCCAGTTACTGTGATTAGATGAAACATGGTGATGCTTCGCATCAGCATGCTTGGGTGCCATAATACCTGCCTTCTCTTCTGTGTGGTTTCCTAGTCATCAAAGGACTACTGCAACTGGCAAGTATTTAATTTTTCTCATACTAGTATTGGGCTGTACAAGATGTTCATGATCATGAGATGGTTTGGATTTCCTTATCCCTAATGAAACAGGTGTGATTGTGAGCTTGAATCAACTGGGGATTGCTGTATCCTTCTTCTTGAGTAATCGGTTTGTACCTGAGCCGAAGCATCACCATTTTTCATCTAATCACAGTAACTGGAATATTGAGGAAGCCAAACCCACGGGTTTCCCTGCCATGGATCCCTTCAAGCCACATTTTCATCAGCGTGCTCGCATTCAGCATTTCATGTTGATTGGTAAGTTGAAAGTTTTAGTTGATTGAGATAGGTTTGCATGTAGAAGGTGTTTTTATGATCTAGGAAAATTTATCATATTCTTAAAACCGCAGCACGAAGGCCTGGAAGGAATTGCACATAAGAAGAGCATATATGTCCACGATGGAAGAATATTGTATCTCATTAGACCTTAGGGACCAATGGACACTGTTATACTCACCATAGGTAATGGAAAGCCAACAGACAGGAACAAAGCCAAAAAAGTAAGCTATGGCTCCCCAGTCTCCTTGTAGGGCAATCATGCTGTCGCTCCAAGTGCCTGGGTATGCAGCCTTTACAGAGTCAACCAGTGGATCCCATGTATTGTAAACTGCTACCTGCAGTAAAAGTCACAAGGCTGAGGTTAGCTACACTCCTTATAACTGACTAGACATAAACTGTCAGAAAATTATTTATTATACTATAAGGTAGAAACAGTTGGTTGATGCTGATGAGTAACTGCTAGCTACAACCAGCCAACATGGTTAGATAATGTCTTTCTCAACTTAGTCCTACATTGAAAAATATCAGTCTACAACTCACTTTGACTGTGATTAATGTTACCTATGATACATAAAGCCCACACTTAGATCGAGGACTCACTGGTTAAGCTTAATTGGCCAATAGTGTACCTAGTTAATTGATCACAAACAGGCAATCATTAGTTAAACAGGCTTGCATATAAGCTACCTTGCCTCATTCTGCCTGTCAGACCAGTTCATTTATCTACCCTGAGAGACCCAATTTTGGACTGTTATAATATTACAATCAGTTGAGGAATCTATAGCTTCCCCAACAGAGTCAGAGACACTTAAAAAAAAATGCTGCACTTCACATCAGTCAGCATCTAACGTTACATATGAGCATAAAATATGAGCAAATAAAATATGAAAATAATTTATGATCATAAAATATGAGCATAGTATGTGTAACTTATGGACTTAATTATTATATTGCCCATCATATGTGGTTGCCAACACCATTAAAAAGGCCAGTCTAACTTTAGACCTAATTGTAGCCCAAAGCAAGGTCACAATTACACCAAAGGAAGGACTATAGGTCTCACATAAATCAACAACCAAAGTAGGATATGGCTCTGTCTCACCTGCCAGCAACTGCAAATTGCATAAAGAAGGAGTAGATACCACCTCCTTTTATACAGTTTCGTAGGTGGCCTGTCCACATCTTGCACTGCTTTCCGGCCCAACGTTTGGCGTGGGCCCACGTCTGACTTCTCATCGGTCCTATCGTCGTCCTCGCTGAGATCATTATCGCCCACCAAGGCACGTTTCTCACTCATTGTACACGAAAAGAAGCGAGAGCGACGACGCCACGAAGTGCAATTGAAACCGGCAACCAGCTGACCGTCACGCGGCCACTTCCTGCCGCCGCTCCGCACGCGATTCCGGATGGCAAGGTTGCCAGATCCGTCCGGCAAATCTTGACGTCTTCGGGACTGACTAGTTGATTGGGGTGTGTCAAGTTAAA